ATCGGTGAGCGAACGTTTAGCGAGACAGCACAAACTGTACGACATGTGAAAGATCTGTTGTCTCTGTTCTGAAGTCGAGAATGTTAGGTGATGATGTCTGTCTCTGTCTCTCCTCAGGGCGAGTTTTAAACAGGTTTTCAAAGGACATCGGTCAGCTGGACTCCAACATGCCGTGGACCTTTGTGGACTTCATCCAGGTGAGAGACGGCAGCTCATTCAATTCACACAGTCATTGTAGATGCTCAATACATCAACATCTATGATTATATTGTTACGACATCAGCTACAGGGACATGTCTGGTGTGTGACGGGACTCTGGACTGAAGATCAGCAAACACCCTGATGTCAGATTTCAAATAGAAATTGTTTCTTTTTCTCCGGGCAGGTGTTCCTGCAGATCCTCGGGGTCATCGCCGTGGCAGCGTCGGTGATCCCCTGGATCCTCATCCCCGTGGTGCCCCTCCTCCTTGTCTTCCTCTACCTCCGTCGCTACTTCCTGCAGACCTCCAGAGACATCAAACGCCTTGAGTCTACCAGTGAGTGTCCCACAATGCACCAGTGTGTGTGAGAATCACGTTAAAAAAAGGCGGTGTGAAAATTCTGACTGTTTTCTGTCCTGCAGCTCGTAGTCCGGTCTTCTCCCACCTGTCCTCGTCTCTTCAGGGTCTGTGGACGATCCGGGCGTTCGGAGCCGAGGAGAGGTTCCAGAAAACCTTTGACGACCATCAGGACCTGCACTCAGGTTCTGCTCAGCATCAACGCCGTTAGCTTCAGTGTTGATCAGTATGAAGCTCAACTGACCTGTGTAACAACATGTTCTCCTCCTCCTGAACAGAGGCCTGGTTCCTGTTCCTCACCACCTCTCGCTGGTTTGCCGTCCGTCTCGACGGCATCTGCTCCATCTTTGTTACTGTCACCACGTTTGGCTGCCTGCTGCTCAGAGACCGTGAGGAAGAGTTTTCATTTGTTAATACTAAACTTTGGCTTTGCGCTGCCGTCCACCGCAGGGAGCACAGTGATGGTGTTTGACAGGATGGTGCTGGAGATCTGCAGTGCAGCAGGTTTGGACTGATGTTGATTTTTGATGTGTTCCTCTTAGAGTTGGACGCCGGCTCTGTGGGTTTGGCTCTGACCTACTCGGTCACACTGATGGGCATGTTCCAGTGGGGCGTCAGGCAGAGTGCAGAGGTGGAGAACATGGTAAGATACTCACCTTCTCTCTAATCTTTTGTATAACATGACATGTTTAAGGCTGATACACATAGAAAAGACATGATTGATTCAGGTGAACGGGTCAGAAAATAGTCTGATCACTAACAATAAATAGAGAAATGATTTTGTTACAGATTGAAATGTTCAATCTTCTTAAACAACAACAGCATCAATAACTGAGGGTGCGGTGGCTCTACTTCTCTCCTGTGTTCAGATGACGTCGGTGGAGAGAGTGGTGGAGTACACTGAACTGGAGAGCGAAGCACCCTGGGAAACCCAGAAGCGTCCTCCTCCAGATTGGCCGAGAAAAGGTTTGGTGACCTTTGACCGTGTCAACTTCTCCTACAGCGGCGACGGACCGCCGGTGCTGCATGAACTGAAAGCCACATTCAGACCCAAAGAAAAGGTCAGAGGTGTTTGACGATCACACGCAGGGTGTTTCATGATGTTTAAAGCAAAGCTGATGTTGTTTGTTCTGGCGTGTCAGGTTGGGATCGTGGGGAGAACCGGCGCCGGGAAAAGCTCCTTGGTCTCAGCTCTGTTCCGCCTGTCAGAGCCTCAGGGAAAGATCTACGTGGACGGTATCCTGACCTCAGAGATCGGCCTCCATGACCTCCGCCAGAGGATGTCCATCATTCCTCAGGTACCAGTGCCTCAGGAGGACAGTGAACCCTTTTAAAATGAAAGCTTTTATCGGTGGCGAGCAGCTTGATTCAGCAGCTGAGTGCCAGGAAATGAGTCAACTGAAAACAAGCCGGTGTGTTTGGATCTTTTCAACAGACATGGGTCTTTGTTTTGTTTTGTTTTGATTTGTTGCGGAGCAGAAAGTTTGTTGTGTTTCAGTCTCTGCTGCAGCAAGTAGATACTGGATGTGATTTTGGCTGCAGCTTGTGAAATGCGTCACATCAACCTCTGACTTTAAATAAGATAACGAAGAAGAAAACAAGCTACACCTGTGATTAATATGTTCCCATTGTCAGAAGTAGGTGGTAAAGCATGGGATGTGTTGTGATCGGTCAGTTTGGGTCATAGCTTGTTTTTGATATGATCATTTGTAAATGAGGCTGATTCCAGTTGCTGAATCCACAGATAGTTTCCTCTTTTGAAAGTAATTGTTTTCCTTTTGATGATGTGTTGAAAATGTGAGTGATTCAGATTGAATTTGGCCACTTGGTTGAATAATTTCATGGTGCTTTCTTCACTGACTTTGTCTTAATCAATTACAGGAATAAATAAACTTTAGAGCAGGAAATAATGAGGCAACTGTCACCTTAACTTTGAACTCTTTATATGACTTAAGTGATTAGTTTTGGAAATGTCTTGTATTTGGACTAGATGTGTAATCAGTAGTGACCTTTGAACTCATCTGCCAGGACCCAGTGCTGTTTACTGGCTCCATGAGGAAGAACCTGGATCCTTTCAACCAACACAAGGATGAGGAACTGTGGAACGCTCTGCAAGAGGTTGGTAACACACACACACACACACACACACACACACACACACACACCACACACACACACACACACCATGGCACAGATGTACAATAATCTGAGTGTCTTTATATGGTAAATGACCCCCCCCCCTCTGTCTGCTGTTGTGTATATTGTGCAGGTGCAGCTGAAAGTCGGTCGTGGGAGGAGCTGCCTGGGAAGTTAGAGACGGTTCTGGCTGAGTCGGGCTCTAACTTCAGCGTTGGGTCACGAGGCAGCTGGTGTGTGTCTGGCCAGAGCCATCCTGAGGAAGAACCGCATCCTCATCATCGAGACGGCCAAGCCAAACGTGGACCCCAGGTATGAACATGCTACACACACAACACACAAAACACACATGAGCCCTGAGTGTGGTAAAGGTTTAGTTTCCACTGGATGACTGTCTGTGTTGTGACTGTGTGTGTGCAGGACAGATGAGCTGATCCAGAGAACCATCCGGGACAAGTTTCGAGAATGCACGACGGTGCTCACCATCGCTCATCGCCTCAACACCATCATAGACAGTGACCGGATACTGGTGGAGTGAGTCCTTCTTCCTCTGCAGATTATAGTTTGGAGCTCATGTGGTTCAGATTTAATGTCCACAACAGCACAAGGTGTTTCCCAGAGACGCCATGCTGAGTGACTGCGTTCACACAGCTGCAGTCAGTGTAACAGGTTGACCTGGTTGGAAGTGTGTGACATTAGTAGAAATACACACGTGGTATCTATAGTGCGGTAAGTCCTAGAAAGTCATTTATCAGACATTGAATGTTTTGCTTTTAGATGGTGTGAAAAAGGTTTAGCATAGTGAGGCTTGAAAAGTGAAAACTGTCAGAGTATATGTTGTTTTTATCTCTTTGTACATGAGGAGTTTTTATGCTTTAGCTAAGAGGAATGAGCTGGTGAGGGACGGTTATCAGCGTCTCTCAAACTGGACGAACATGTTTGATCTTTGTTGTGTGTAGGGAAAGTTGTGGCGTCAGTGGGAGTGACACATTCAAACTATTGTAGGTGAACAAGCAGCTCAGTGGAGCCACTGAGCAGCTGTGAAGCTGTGACACTGCTGTTCATCTGGAAACCTGCCCAGCACACGGCTCCACCCAGAGTCACTGACGTAGTTGAGATTGTTTAGAGTAACCACATCCTGACTGTAGCTTCAAAGTTAAAGCAGATACATGTTTGAGAAAATAAGAGTAATAGAGCTACACAAAGTGTTTTTTTGTTGCCCTTTAGTGGCTACAAGTTGTAATCTCAGAACTGTGTTGTTGTGAAAAGCACCTGTGGCTGGATGTTGGGAGGAGAGTCATGTTGTTGTTGTTGTTGTTGTTGTTGTTGTGGTGGTGGTGGTGGTGACTTTCCAAATGGAGAAGCTCAGACACATTTATGATGCATCGTCACTTTGCTTGTGTAATATGTTTAGTCAGTGAAATGCTTTGATTAGATGTTTGCAGTGAATGTCAGTAGTGTGTATATACACACACACACACACACAGTTAGAATGAATGCATGAGTCAATAATTAAAAAGGACAAATGTGTTTGTGTGTCCAGGTTCTAGACGCAGGGAGGATCCACGCCTTCGATGAGCCTTTCACCCTCCTTCAGGATCCAGACGGCATCTTTTACAAGATGGTGCAGCAGACTGGTAAACAGGAAGCAGCCGCTCTACTACAGGCAGCTAAACAGGTGCGTGTGTCCTTCATGGTCAAATGTACATCATGTGTCCTGCTGTGAGAGGCTTGTGTTTGTGACCTGTGCTGCTTGTGTTGTCAGGTATTCGATAACAGAAGCCGCTCCAACATGTCAAACGGACATGCGGAGACGGCAGACGGTAACCTGGTCATCTTTGAGACGGCTCTGTGAGCAACAGGAGGGTCTGACTCGCTGCTTTGCCAGAAGACTTGAGAAAGTGCCTCCAGTGCCCCCCCCATCCCCTCCCCTCCCCTCCTCTCCCGCCACAGAGCACCTCATCCATGGAGCTGGTGAGGAGACCGAGAGGCTCTGGCCTCACTGTGGTGTGGAATGGCTCAGCCAAATATACGCACATGCTGCTGAGAGAAGCTGGAAATCACTGCTGTACAAACTGTTGACATGGACACTATTTATTTTTTATGTTTCCTATGTAGAGAAGTAGTTTTTAAAAATGGTAAGTAAGTGCCTTATTGTAGGTTTGCAGCAGTTTGTACATGTGTGGATGTAACCACAGAAAATGTGCAACTGTGTAAAGAAGCCTTTGTAAATATCAATTGTTGCACAAGATGAACAATCACCACGTCCGACAGACGACACCGCAGCAGGTTCACAGAGCTCAGCGAAGGTCTGTCTGTCTGTTTGTTGTTGTTGTTGTTGTTTAGAGATTTATTAATGTTGAAACCTGAATGTGGAGTTTACTGACAATCTGAGGACTGCTGCTACAACAGGGGTGGAGTGTGTTTGTGTAGAATGATGTTCATGTCTGTTGAAATTGTGTGTGACATGCTAAGGGGGAATTTGTGGAGTGTGTTGTTTTACTTGAGGTGGTCCTGCTGTGCAGAGGGAGAGAGGGAGAGAGTGATGTATCATGTAGAGTAATTAGAGTTGGTTTATATTTCTGATGTACATGTCCCCTGGGTCCCTACAAGTATTACTGGGGGCTGGGGCAGAAAAAAAAATTGTGTCCTATGCAGAATCAGAACTGTTGACATTGCTTATGTGTAATGATACATCTAGTCAGGGTTACAAGGATTGAGCTCATGAGGTGTGAAAAACATATCACTGTTCCCAAGACACCAAAGTGTGAAGATCAGAAGAGACACTTTATGCGGGGAAAAGAAATGTTGTTTGTTGTGAGGTGTTGTAAGACGGCCCTTACATGTGCAGTGTCACACGGCAGAGTGGAAGGATTCCTGCTCCAACAGAGGTGGAGTGAGCCGACAGGCGATAATTGGGGTTAATTGCCTGCAGCAGCAGTGCCTCACAGAGCCTGTGGGTGTGACTGTGTGAGTGAGACACCTGAGGTAGATTGGGGAAATGACCTGCCAGCCCACCTGCTGAAGGGAGGCATATCGTACAGATGGATGTATGTATGTTTGATGTAGAGTAATTTTGAACATATGGTGTGCGAAATATGGCGTGTTCCCCCGGGCGAAGGGCATATCAGTGCGTTTGCGGGCCACCGTCTTGCTAAGCGCATGGCGAAGAATAGACTGGAAGTTCTTTCGCGCTTAGCAAGACGGTGGCCCGCAAACGCACTGATATGCCCTTCGCCCGGGGGAACACGCCATATTTCGCACACCATATGTACAAATACACCTGATTATGACTTATGACAAATGTTACATGCAGCTCCTGCTAGGGTTAGGGTTAGGGTTGTGTGCATGCGTGCGTGCGTGCACATGCATGCACGTGCATGCACCAATATGAACCAACATATCTGATTATGACTTATGACAAATGCTACAGTCACTAGTTACAGTCACAACCCACAATGACACACAAAGACCACAACTCTGTTGAAAATTAAATAAACTTTATCTGAACAAAAGACTGTACAAACAGTAATGTGCTTCTTGTGAGTTCACATCCAACCCCACTGTCTTCAGGTCATGCAGTCAACACACACACACACGCACGCACGCACACACACACACTCTCACACACCCAGACAATCTGTCACATCCTGCTCCACTGTCAGGACTGCTGCGTCATCTGTGAACATGAACAAACATCATCCCATCAATAGTAAACACCCAGTAATAACTACAATACAAGCATTACATCCAACCACAGGAACATTCCACCTCACCTGTCTGGCAGACTCCAGCAGAGCAGCCGCCTCAGCCGCTCCCAGCTGCTGCACCATCTTGTAGAGCGCCCCGTCTTTGTTCTGCAGCAGAGTGAAGGGACGGTCTAGCTCCTGGATGGTTCCACTGTCCAGCACCTCACAACACAACACAATCAAACATCCATCACTTTCATTGTCTAATCTCTTAGCAGCATCCATGCAGGTGTTCAGTAACATACACATGCAGAACGAGCAGACTGCACATGAGTTTAAACAACTTCACTTAAACTCAGAGAGAGAGAGAGAGAGACAGAAATCAGCTCCCCACACACACACACACACACACACACACACACTTTTTACTATTACTGGAGAGGACTCACCAGTATCCGGCCACTGTCTATGATGGTGTTGAGGCGATGAGCGATGGTGAGCACCGTGCATTCTCGAAACTTGTCCCGGATGGTTCTCTGGATCAGCTCGTCCGTACTGCACAAACACAGTCACAACACAGACAGTCATCCAGTGGAAACTAAAGGAAACTAAACCTTTACCGCACTCAGGGCTTGTGCAGTGTAGCATGTCTCATACCTGGGGTCCACATTGGCCGTGGCCTCGTCGATGATGAGGATGCGGTTCTTCCTCAGGATGGCTCTGGCCAGACACACCAGCTGCCTCTGACCCACACTGAAGTTAGAGCCCGACTCGGCCAGAACCGTCTCCAACCTCCCAGGCAGCTCCTCCACGACCGACTTCAGCTGCACCTGCACATACATATACACACAGAGTCAGTTGAAGAACAGGAGATACTGACACAGCTCTGATTGGATACTCGCCTCCTCCAGGGCCCTCCACAGCTCTTCGTCCGCATGCTGCTTGAAAGGGTCCAGGTTCTTCCTCACGGTGTCAGTGAACAGCACCGGGTCCTGCAGCACACAGAGGGACAGACGCGCTGAAACCACGAGCTGCGCTTCCTTCACATCCCAAACATCCTCCACTTCAATAACAGCAGCGTTACACCACAGTAACAACACTGTCATTACAATTCAAAGTCCTGCCTTCTAATCAAGTGGAACTTCTTCTGTTATTATATTTCACAATATTACTCTAAATGCATTTTCATGTTAAAACTGACTGAGTTTCTGCTTATTTCAACAATTCTACATCACATTGGGGAGTTCAATCAACTTTCTCATTACAGCTGTGAAATACATGTAGGAGTCCGAACAGAAATAAATACACAAACTTGGACTGTTCAATAATAACATTGCTCAATTCTAACAAACAAGCATGTTCAAAACATTAAAAACCCACGCGTCATCTCTACCTGGGGAATGATGGACATCCTCTGACGCAGGTCGTGAAGGCCGATCTCTGACGTCAGGACGCCGTCTATGTGGATCTCCCCCTGCGGCTCAGCCAGGCGGAACAGGACCGACACCAGGGAGCTTTTCCCGGCGCCCGTTCTCCCCACGATCCCGACCTGACGCAGCGGGGGGACACACGGGGGACATGAAACCGGCACGTACGCTGACGTCACGTGCGTAAAGTCATGAGCTCTAAACCGGCTGTCGCGTCTCACCTTCTCGTGCGCTTGGAAAGTGGCGCTGATGTCTCTGAGGACCGGCGGCCCGTCTTCGCTGTAGGACAACTTCACCCGGTTGAAAGTCACCAGTCCTCGGCTGGGCCAGTCGGCGGGAGGACGCTTCTGGGTCTCCCAGGGTGCCTCGCTCTTCAGCTCTGTGTACTCCACCGCCCGCTCCACCGAGGTCATCTGAAGAGATAAAGAGGTTGATTGAGTGAATCCCCGCGCCGACCCTCCGCCCTCCGGCTCTGACTCGACACCCCCGGACCGGCGGCTCCGTCCTCACCATGTTCTCCACCTCCGCGCTCTGCCTCACGGTCCACTGGAAGTTTCCTATCAGCGTCACGGCGTAGGTCAGCACGAGCCCCACCCCTCCGGCCTCGAGCCCTGACACGCGCGCGCGCACGCACACACACACACACACACACACACACACACACACACACACACACACACACGAAGACAAAGACATGCTGATATAGGACATTTTTACATTTTCTTTTAGTAAACACAGAGAGGCTCCAAAAATAAAAGAAACAATAACTACACAAACACTGATTTTTCACGGCACTGGCTCCACACCACCACCACCACCACCACAACAACAACAACAACAACAACAACAACAACAACAACAACAACAACAACAACAAGCCTCCATTTTAACACTCCAAAGCGCACGGTCTACACTTCATGGCGCAAATCCATGTCACTTTTCACTATTATAATGGCGGGAAAAACAGTCCCAGCTCCAGGCTCGTGCTTCTACGTGGCTCCACTCGGTCTCTTCATTGATCACGGGAGAGCTCTGTCAACCAGCCAATCACAGTGCCATCATCTCCCGTGCCCTTTAAAAGCCAGGCGGCGCACTTGCAACGTGGCGCATTGATATTACAATGACGCAGTGACGTCACTGCACAAAGCACGTTATGATGTCACATTATGACATGTTTAGTTAATACGTTTTCGGTTCATTATGAAACTTTGCTAAGAAGCATTTAGTCCAGCTGCTGCTCACTGTGCGCATGCGTAACAGGCCTGTTGGAATATCAGTGAAACACTGCGACACCGACTTCAGACCACTTTCTTTTTTACTGCTCAATCGCTTTCCGCTGCCTCAACATATCAATGCGCCTCGCCACGGCACGCGCATGGACGCACAGGGGCGGGGCGCCAATTAGCTGCAGACGGAACGCAGGTCGGAGGTTGTGTCACACCGGTGGAGTGACGCGGGTGCACACCTCCGGCCACACCGGCGTGCCGGAGAGACGGCGACACCTGATCAAATACACCTCATAGATCTCTGCGTAACGTCTCGTGTCGGCTTTCACCCCGTTGTCTTCATGGATTTCACACCTGTCTCCACGCGGGGTTCAAGGAGGTTGGTCGCGGACAGGAAGTAGATCAACGCACCGGGTATTTCGGCCGGTAAGGCGGACAGAAACACGCAGGTATTGCTCCTGGGCAGGACAAGTATTCCTTTCTTTTTATTCTTTCTTTCTTTGTATTTTTAATCAACTGTCAACTCTGAACTGAATTTCTAAATTCTCCTTATGTTGCACCTGCACAAACACACATCCTGCTACACTCACCTGTCCTGCTGAAACCTGTGACAGCTGTAATAGACTGTGACTGAGCAGCAATCCCTGTCAACACGAGCTCTAATCAACTCAACAGGTTCTCACCGTCTCTGAGTAAGATGCAGCCGAATGTGGTGAAGGTGATGAAGAGGGAGCAGATGCTGTCGAGGCGAAGAGCAAACCAGCGGGACGTCATCAGGAACAGGAACCAGGCCTCTGAGGAGAGGAGCGCAGACACACGGGAACAGGGACGTCACCAAACTGACTGGAATCATTACACCTTCTTATGTCGCCCGCAGTCCCACTTTAAAAACAACTGAGCAGCTCAAACAGTGAAGCAGAGTCTGACCCGAGTGCAGGTCCTGATGGGCGTCAAAGGCTTTCCTTAACCTCTCCTCGGCTCTGAAGGCTCGGATCGTCCACAGACCCTGAAGAGACGAGGACAGGTGGGAGAAGACGGGACTCCGAGCTGCGGGAACACATCGCAAACATCTGTTTCTAACACGCACAGTCATTTCGCTTCCTGTTTCAACCCTCGTCGCCCCTTCGTAACCTACTTGTGGACTCGAGGCGTTTGATGTCCCGTGACGTGCTGAGGTAGAAGCGTCTCAAGTACAGGAAGATGAACAGCAGAGGAACGACAGGGATCAGGATGAGAGGGATGACCGAGGCCGCCACCACCACCACACCCATGTTCTGCAAGAACAACTACAGAACGACAACCGCGCTGACGCTTTCATCTACGACTAAAACAACATCTGGAAACAGAGAACAGACAGGGAAGTAATAATGTCTCACTTGATAGAAGTCCACAAAGGTGATGGGTAACATGGAGTCCATCTGGCTGATGTCTTTGGAAAACCTGTTGAGAATTCTTCCTGCAAAGTGGATAAAGGCAAAATCAGCCAGACAAATAACTGATGAGTAACGTTGCTGTGCCGCAACTTCTTCCACTTCAGTCGAGAAAATAGAGTCGGCAAAAGACTCCTACATACATGAAGTTCATTATATCTTATATCTGGTACTCACTGCATGTAAAACCTGAGGTGCACGAGCCAGGAAGTGACTGAGTGACATGAACAACCGGCAGGTTTTTGAAGAGGAGGCGAACTCACCGATGGGGTTGGCGTCGAAGAAGGCGACAGGCGTGCGGAGGACGGCGCTGAACATGCTGTTGTGCAGTTTCTGAGCTGATCTCACCAGCTCGTGAAAGATCACTAAGCTCCTGGCGTAGCCAAACACCACGGCGACTGCGGTCAAACCTGGAAGCAGAAGCAGCCGACTTTATATCACACCTGTTCATATATATATATATATGTTTTACACCTGGACATGATGGAGCTCACCTGAATAAACACCGAGGTAAAATGTGAGGTCCAACTCTTGATCTGAGTGAGTAGCATTCACTCCATTTCTGATGCTAACAGCTGTGGCCGTGCTGTTGAAATACATCTCTCTCACCCTGTCACACACACACACACACACACACACACACACACACACACACACACACACACACACACAGTCAGAGAGAGAAAAGATCATTCAGCAGGTTCACAAACAGTAACATAAGCTGCATGTAAAAGTCAGATGTGAAGAGCTCACCAGTACACCAGCCACCAGTCCTGCAGAATATAAGCAACCTGTGGATCGACACAGAGTTCAGTTCAGTGGCTGCATATTCACAATAAATCAGGATCTGAGAACCACTTAAAACATGATACATGAAAGAAGTGTGTGATGGAAATGTTGCATTTGTCTCTAGAATTACAGGAAATGAACCTGAAGGAAGGATGAGGAAGAAGAAGAGGAGGAGGAACAGACAAGAAACATGGAGAATTCAGAAAGGTAAGACAGCTGGGTCCTTTCTTTTACTATCATTATTTGATGTACACATTTATATATCTGCTCATTTTTCTAATAATAATAATAAAGAAAAAAGTTTGATGAGAATTGGAATGTATTTTATGTCAGTCCGTTGAATCTAATCTCATCTAATTTTCCCTCTTTTGGTACTTGGATGATTTGTGTTCATTATTATATAGTGACGCTCTTGTCCGGTTACATGTGTGACACTGTGCAGATGTGAGAACAAGTTCCAGGTGTGAGTGTGAATACTCGAGGCCTGTGAGCCTCAGCTTACCTCGGCCACGACACTGAGCAGCACGATAAACAGTAAGACCGCGATGCTGCAGCCTGCGGTGAAGTACTTGAGATAAATGTGACCGGCGACGTCTCCTTCCACCCGACTCTCCTCTGCCGCGGTGCAAACTGTTTCAACCTGCAAAAAACAGGCTGTTAATAAGCCACTTATTTTAAAACTCTTATTTTATTTTGAAAATGTACTCACAGGAAGCTGGTCTGTGCAGTCGCTCTCCTGCGGCAGGAGGCTGCTGTGGGAACTGTGCGAGTGGTTCGTCTTCTGGCTGTGTAACGACAGCTTGCCCAGGTCGGCCGATCGAGCCCGTCGCTCCTGCTCCTCGTCGCTGCTCGGCATAGCCGCCATGTCCGGATTGGAGGAGCACAGCTCGCTGTAGGAACCCTGAGCCGTCACGTGACCCTGAGACACGCAGGAACAAAACACGAAGTGTAGAATTAAAGAAAACAAACTGCACACTTTCATCCTCTTTAGAAGAGCACGCTGAAAGCGCCGTCTGAAGTGCAACAAGCAGCAGCAGTAGCTGTCTTTGAATGTGTTGCACAAACCTCTTTGAGGACCAGGATCTGGTCGGCGGCCCTGAGGTGCTGCAGCTGGTGGGTGCCCAGGACACGACACTTGTTCTTCAGCAGGCCGCAGATGCACCTGCTCGTGAACACACAGACAGACACGTTTTGTCCGACACCTTCTACGCACTACACTTTTAAGTTCAACGGTGCGGCACAACACGACGGGTGATCACTCACTGCTCAAAAAGATGTTTCCCGACCTCAGCGTCCACTGCGCTTAAAGGATCGTCCAGGAGGTAGATGTCTGCATCCTGATACACAGCCCTGAAACACACACACACACACACACACGGTTTAGTGGATGAAGATTAACAATCTGGACGAGACAGAAATGTAATGAAATGTACGAAGACTGTAACAACAGCCCCCAGACTGTTACTAACCGTCCTCCTCTGGGTTGAGACAAACCCGACCTTGTGCATACCTGTGGAAATCAACCTAGCGTGTTGCTACATGTTCCCTCCCCCAGAACCCCGGGGAAGCAGCCCCACACACACACACACACACACAGACAGCAACAGTGATGCCAGACATGCTACTTCACTTCCTGGTCGTGTCTCTTCCATGTGAATGCAGACTTCCTGGTTGTGACTCCCTCCTACCTGGCCAGGTTGATGCGAGCTTTCTGTCCACCGCTGAGTGTGGCCCCTCTGTCCCCGATCAGCGTCAGGTCTCCGTCCGGGAGCAGCTCCAGGTCCTGCGCTCAAAGACGACGAACAACTCAAGCTCTGACTGAACACCTCGGCTCTGGATTCAAAGTCAGACGTGTTGACACAAACTTCCTAATCTTCTGACTTCCACATCAGTGACAAGACATACAAACAGAAGAGATCGTTTCTACTCGCTTCTATTGACGAAGCACAAACACAATCAGAGATAACATTGGACTTCCAATATGGCCGCCAGAGAGTCTGCTCCCTCCGTCAGCTGACAGGGACCCCGCTCACACCCCACCTTCTTTAGAGCGCAGGCTCTGATGACTTTCTCGTACCGCTGGGGGTTCAGCTCTCTCCCGAACAGGATGTTACTGCGGATGGTCCCCGGGAACACCCAGGGCTGCTGGGACACATAGGTCAGCTGACCTTTGACCTTCAGACTCCCCGTGTCCTGAGGCAGCTCTCCCAGGATGGCGCTCAGCAGGGAGGACTGGTGGGAACACAAACAGAGTCGACACTTTTCCCTTTGTTGGTGGTCAGGTCAACCGTGTCCCCGTTAGCCTGAAGCTAAGCTTGTTTGCACAGGTGCACTCACCTTCCCGGCCCCCACTGGTCCAATTACAATCAGGAGTTGGTGTGACTTCGCGCTGACGGAGACATTCTGGAGAGATGGAGCGTCCAAACTCTGACGGGAAACATTTAGAGAATTACAAAGAAAACAAGTGTCAGATCTGAAATCATGTAAAATCACTTTACACTTTGAAAACTACGTTCAGGTTTTTATTACAAAGTACGCAGGTGCGCTCGCTCCTCATTTCAGAGTTGAAATATTCACCTTATCCCAGTAGCAGGTCAACTTCTCAATCTCTATGGAGCTCTCCTCCTTCCCCTCCAGAGGCAGCCCCGAGGTTTTTCTCTCCACCTCATCCAGCAGGAGGAAACTCTGGGAACACGTTAATCAATATGGTTTCTGTTTGCAGTGGTTTCGTTTTAACTCTCTACAAAGTCAAACTGCTGCTTCTCAAAAACACACAATTTTTAAACATTCACTGCAATGACAGATTCCTGGAAGTCACTACAGAAGCAAGGGATGTAATGTGTAACTGAACATTTAGCAGGCACTGCTGTAAACCCTTAAAATGCCAGAGGAAAGACTAAAGGTCACATATTTTCTTCTTCTTCTGTGTTTGATCCATAAGAAGAAATATTAAAAAGAACCAAAAACCATCTCAGTGTAGTTTTACATCTCCTCTCTCAGGCGTCTCTCTGCAGCTCTCGTGACAACAGGTCGGAGAGCCAATCAGAAGAGAGGAGGCTCTGATTTAAATGTTAAATAAAGTGACTGAATCAACCGATTAAAGAAAACAGAAGTACCGTGATCCTCTGGACGCTGACCGCGGTCTCCGACACCTTCTCCACGGCCAGCGGGAAGAACAGGGTGACCGTGAGCTTGATGGTACCGTACAGGGACACGGTGACAAACACGCTGCTGGCGGTGATGGCGTTGCCCAGGAGGGCGTAGACGGTGAAGGTAATGAAGACGATGATCTTGCTGCTGGCGAAGAAGGACGCCATGTTGAGTCCTCGTAGGTAGGAGCTGTACAGTATCTGACGGATCTCTTTCCTGGGAACAGACAACAACATGTGGAGAATTTGGATTCATGCTTTAATGTTGTAAAGTTCTTTGAGGGTTTGCAGGAACTTTTTAAAAACAAAAGGAATGAGGAGGAAAATGAAAAATGGATTACATTTCCTGTTTTATTTACTGCCATTCAATATCTTCATCAGGCACAGATAACTTTACCTCTCTACAAAGTATTACCCTTTTCTTTTAATTCTTTCAACTTTAAGCTTCATGCTTTCATGTGTAAAGCCCTTCTTAAGCGCTGAGCCACGACCACCAACTTTCAAAGCGGTGATTTATTTCAGTCTGATGGAAACTCACTTTCATTGTGTGCTAATTGGTTTCCCCAAGAAAGATCTGTCGTTCCATTCAAGCCCAAAGCAAATGGAACATGTCGGTCCTGGGGCAGAAACATCTGATCACGCTCGACCGATCAATGTCTTTTAGTCCTTTAGTGGATATTCTAAATGTATTGGGTCGGATATGTTGACCATCTTTTATATCATTTACTCTTCTACAATTCTACACCCGTCAGTTTAGGGATGTAAATACTCAACGTCACATCTGCGTGGGATCTACTTAATGCGGCGTAACCTGTTTTTTTTTTTTTTTTTTTAATGGAGTGATGCTGATGTTGATCATTTCCACTTGAACACTTTAAAGAGTCAAGATGTTATGTATTTTTTTTTTTCTTTCTTTTTTTTACTTTCTACATCGCTGCAAACTGCAACTTGAGTCTCACAAAGCGTAGTTGGATCAGGACGGATATTTGATTTTCAATAAGTTTGGAATCTTTTCTGTCTGTCTGTGTGTGTGTTTCTTTTCAAGGCACATGTGGGTGATGGTGCAGATGTCTTCTGTGTTTTATTAAAGGCTCAGCTATGTGAAATATTCCCCTCAGCTCTGTCTCAGGGAGAACAGACTCTTTTCCCCCCTCAGTGCATACCACTGGTTTATATGAAGTGTCCTCAGGCGAAATCCACGTTGCTGTAAATGAACGTCAACATGCTTCGATTCTTTTTCTAGATGAAGATGAAGCTCTTTGCTTTCACCGTTACTTCATAAACACCGTGGGTATTATTGTTTTTGGTGACATGTCGCTTCATGTCAATGATTTCCATGTAAGTTCCTAGAAAGGAGTTGGATGTGTAACTGAAACAACTTAACGTGACACCATTAATCCATTATGACACACTCTGCCCCTCGGGCTTTAAAGTGTTGTAAGAAGGGGTTTCTATCTTCATCTGCCTGGACATGAGTGTTCAGCATGTTTCAAAAAAGTCAAATAAAGCAAACACTTCACTCACAGCTTCTGCCATTTAATCACTTTTACTACTGGAACCAGCTGACGGCTGATAATCCTGAAAAACTACTCTTCAAAGTGAACAATGTTTCTGTCAAAACATTTGGTCCTCAGTGGAAACGGACTGACAGTTTAATTAATGAAACAAAACAATTAGAGCCTCACTTTCACGTTGCACCGTGTCAAAACACTAAAGAGGTTCCCGAGGACCATAAATCATGAGCAAAGTCCTCAAGATTTATTCACCTTCAGCCTAAAATGTGAACTTTGAGGTGTCATAACTGATCCTGCCATTTTCTGACCTCACTAAAGGGCAACACACACCAGCGGTGCTGAACCTGTCTGAAACACCCCTACCTGCTGTTTGTCAATGATATACTGTGTGTGTGTGTGTGTGTGTGTGTGTGTTCGTTCACCTTAACCTACTGTGCAATAAATCATCCTGCAGTAAGCTGCTTTCATTTAAACATTTGCTCTGACAGTTTGTGTAACAACACCTGATCCTAATGGTTAACACTTCTGATCCACAGCTGTAGATTCACCTCCAGTTTGCACCAGCTGTCACTTCTTTCATCGCTCATTCAGTTTGTTTTGGTTTGACTTGTGATTCATCAGGAAAATATCCTGATCAGCAAGAGGGCGAAACTAAATGTTGGAAGACGTCCCGGCAAAAACAACTGCCCCAGAACGCCCCAATTGTATCCCAGCAAACTCATTCTAGTAGATATTATTTCCGTCCTCACCTTCTGACTTCAGTAACCAGAGCTGAGAACGGCTTCTCCCAGGCGTACATCTTGATGATCCTGACGCCGGACACCACCTCGTTCATGATGCAAATTCTATTGTCAGTAAAGACGGCCGTTTTGCTCCTGCAAAGAATTAAAATAAATAAATAAAAATATTTACCTTCCTAATGGTCAGAGTCACAGAGTTGAAAAATGGCCACTGAAGAACATTATGATGTCACAGTGACGTTGACCTTTGACCCTTTGGATATAAAATGTCATCACTTTATTAAACCGCAGTTAAACCGCGTCATAATTACTGTTTGAATTCGTGTTTTGTGAGGTCACAGTGACCTTTGACCGCCAACAGAAAAACAAAGAGGAATTTCCTTAAAAGATAGAAAATAGTCATAAATTGACTTTATCGTTGATTATTGGAGAAGACTCGTTTCCTACCTGAAGATGCCAAAGAGTTTTCCGAACCAAGTCTGCATCGGCAGCATGAGGGCGACGACCGCCACGCCCGCCAGACACGTCGGGCCGATCTCGTACCAAAGGAAGACGACGATCACCATGGCTTGTAGAGGCCCCACCCACAGGTAGTGCAGGTTGAGTGTAATCTACACACACGCACGTGCAAACATTTAATTTTTTTTTCTCAATTGTCAGCACTCGTAAATCTCACAGGTCACACGACCTCTTTTACACATTTACTCAAACACACTTAAAAAAAAGAAAAGGCTTCGAGCAGACGAGGTTAAATGTTAACGTGATTATTGTTAGCTAATACATATTCAGCCATTGATAACCGTTGGACCCTTCTGTCAATCATTTATTGTTGCGTCACCTCATCGAAGCGGTTGACATCATTCGAAAGGAGGTTGACGATTTGTCCGGTGGTGGTTTGTCCCATGGATTCACTGCTGAGGGCCAGAGCCTGGGGGGGGGTAGGACTCTTTAAGAGTTGGAAACATATTTCTAAAGACATCTCTGAATTCTGCCGAATCTTTCACTGACCTTCCTGTATATCATGTGACACATGGCCACCCGTATCCTCATGCCCAGTTTCTGAACCTGGTAGAAGTAGAGGTGTTGGAGGATAGTCAGGCCGAAGGTGGAGAGGGACATGGCGGCGGCGTAAACGCACACCGTGCAGAGACTCCTATGGTCGTCTGGGTCGTAATTCTCAAAGTACAGGATTATTTTCCCCAGCAGAAGCGACTGGATCACTTTAATGGCCTCCTTTTTTAAGACGAAAAACACAGGGATGAGAAATACACATTAGGCCGTCGTGAGATCCTGGACGTGGGAAGAAGAGTCACATAAAAACTCGTTGCTGCTTGTTCTCTCTCAAACAAGAATCCAACACCTGACATTAGCAGACGGTCTAAGGTTAAGAAACAACATGAACATACCAGTGAAAATGTGAACAACCCAGCCGCGGCGTAGGACCTCCCGTAGCACCGGATGAGGACGTCGGTGAGGTTCGGTTTCCGCAGTTCCTTCGTGGCCTTTTTAACTTCGTGGTCCCAAAGTCTGCAACAGAAAAAACAACAGGTAACAACACATTATATAGTGAGATGGCACACTGTGGTGTGTGTTTCAGGGCGTGATTCGACGTACAACTCATTGGTTTCTGGGAAAAAGCAAGTGATACCCAACTTCTTTTTGTAAAACCTGAGGAACATCAAGTAACCAAAACATGAGATAACGTCACAGTTTTCACTTTCCTCTTCTGAGCGTCCTGAGACCGGGAGTCATCCTTTCATTCAGTATTTGGATAAACAAACTTGCGTCAACTGTGCCAAACAAATTCAATTTGCTTCTTCACACAGTCTGATCAGTCACTGAAACACCACATTTCCCACATACCAACCTTAAACTAAGTCAGAAGCACTGACACTTCTGTTTTTCAATGCAAGGCTGTGGCTTCTGTTAATGACAGTGCGGTTCTTCCTCTAGCTCCTGATCACTGCGTTCAGGCAGCTCCTCAACACGTGGAGCCGCGCTGCTTTTCGACACAACCCAGACCAAAAACTGAACAAACTGCTTCTTTTATAACTTATAATCATAAAATATTTTTTATTTTAATTATATATATTCCTTCACCAGAATATAAAAAGTAAGATTCCCCCTTAAAGCTCTCATTGACTTATTCAACTCCAGGTTTGACTGAAACATCATGATAAAAGTCTCTACATTCTTGGCAAAATAAATGTGCTTGTAGTTTCTGAAACGTCTTCCCGTTTTGGGAGTGACGTTACGGCGTACCTCTGCAGCTCCTCTCCCAGGGTCTGAGAGCGATCCTCGGGGACAACGCTGTACATGTCACTTTCCTCCAGCGTCCGCTTGTGGCCGAGGTGCAGCAGCGGGGTCAACCAGCTGAAATGGACAGGTAATGATGCAGTTAGAAAGCAGGTAAAGCAGACACTTGAGTTACTTATTGCTTTTGTTGGAACAGGAGACACCGCCGATGTTTCTCTGCACTAACACAACAACTCTAATAGGTTAGAAGTGATTGGCTTTAATAGAAAGAGAGAGGGGGGGGGGTGATCAATCATTCAAACATTTCTGTGTTAAGTGGGATCTGTACGTTTACTGTCCACGTACTGTGTAACCGGTCTGTCTTTATAGACTGATGCAACCTGAGGGTGCAGGGCCTGATGCACCGAGCACCTGTCCTCACCTGTAGAAACGACACCCTGGAGTTTTTAATGAAACAACCCCACCTCCCTCAGTCATGCTTTTGTCAGCTTCACCCGAAATAAATTCCTTCAAGCTAAGAAAACAAAAAAAATAACACTTGCAGCCCCCCCACCACCACCCCCACCCCCCACCTCTTCAGCCACGCTACACCTATGCATGGCTCCAATGCTGTTATCTAGTCTGCTTACAACACAACAGTCTTCAAGGAGGAGGTCCAGCACCTCGGGGCATGGTGCGCTGATAACAACCCAGAGTACACTGCTCTAACCCTGCTGCTAACCCAGGAGCTATTTGTCACATGCAGCGAGGACAGCTTCTACTTTGTCCTTTTTTCTCTGTGCTCCATCATGTTCTTCTAATGTGCATGAAGGGGCACGCTCAATCCTGAGGCAGTATCACACAAGGTCATACACTGCTGCTCGGGTGGAGGGTGGGGGGTTGGCTGGAGAGCAACTCCTGCATATAGTCCTTGAATGCTTGTTTTGACTAAACGCAGCGGGTAAAAGTCACTGAACAAATGCCACAGGTTGTGAACATCTAACACCGCCGATTTAATTATCGGCGCGGTAACAAAAGAAGATCTTTGAATTGCTCATATTGATTAAATCTTAATCCCTTTCATCCAAACTGTCAAACTCAGTCGCCAATGCAACAGGAAATCTAGGAATTACTGTTTCACTGCTTCAGCTTCCAGCCGTGTCTGAAACGTGCAGCTGTAAACATAAAACCCGCGGAGCGCATCGCAGCCTCTGGTCCGAAATTCCTCTAAACTGCTTTGGAAAACGACTTTGCATGTGAGTTGCAACAGGTGGTTCAAGTTGTGAAAACTCAACTTCTCAAATTAAAAAAAAATGTTCCAAGGGAAACGTTATTTCTAACACGCGACATGTCTCTTCCAACTCCAGCTTCAATTGAACAGCTTTCCACACGGATTTACGCACCGCTATACTGATTTATTGAGAACCAATCACTTCACGTACAGGCTGCGTGCGGAATCCAATATCATGATTTAATCACTTACCACAAAAAGACTCTTGAACAAAAGCCGGCAGTTGCCAGCGGGTTGTGTCCGTCCGTCTTGGTGCTCTCCATGGTCTTTTTGGCTTCAGTTCAGGAGGCTGCACAGGCGCAACTGTCCGCACGCACTGGCGCACTCAGGCAAAACTTAATTCAACCACATGTGTAGTTAGGTAACATCATGTAACACTGAGACTCGGCCAATAACAGTGTGACATGTAAGGGTCTGCGCGGAGCCGTCTTCAGGTGCTGTTGAATATAATATATTCTAAACCCCGGGAAAGACGATCGACAGCTGAAAGTGAAAGTCTGACACTGTGGGACGTTTGGAGCGTGCAGGACCTCACACTGACCAACAATAAACATCTGCATTATACTGTTATTGATAGTCTGATTGAAGAAAAAAAAAAGTAGCCTCTTTCAGTAGCCTGAAGGGTTAGATAATCTTTTGTAATTAATGTTATTTAATTGATATAAATTACCTTATTGTATTGTAATTATTACTATTAGTTTATTACAACTGCAATCTGTTATAACTGCCTTTTTACAGTAGTATCAGTATTTATCATTATTATTATTGTTATTCTTCTTCTTCTTATGATTATTGTTGTTATTATTATTATTGTTATTATTATTATTAGCAATGCACATATTTTATTGTGTCTTTTTCTATTTTATTAAATGTATTTTGTGTAACGTCTGGGTTACAGTTTGATCTTTCAGCCTGTCCACAATCCCGCGGGAAGTGTATCTGTATCACAGTCTTGGATGTAAAAGCTGTAAACAAACACGTCGACGCGTTTAACTCACACTCCACAAACTTATGTTTCCGAGCAGCTCTTGAAGGCATCTTCTGCATAAAATTTTTTTTTTCTCCCTCCTTTTTTTTCTCTTTCCACGCCTATCTTCAAAAGTACCAATCACATGATCTAAGCCGTAGTTAAAGAGAACAAACACGTGGACTCGAGCCAAAATTAAGTCCACAGAGCCACGGTGGTCCAGATCCGAGACCGGAAATGTCGGTCACAACCTCTCACGGTCTGCACCTCGTCACAAAAGCACAATTCAACATTCAACATACATCATACATAGATCTGCAGCAGCAGCAGCAGCAGGGTGAGGCGCGATGTGCAGGAAATAAAAAAAACCCCGAGGCGGGAGGCCCTTATGTCTGGGTTATGAGAAGCAAAGTAGGCCACAGCAGGTTCGAAACTCTGGTATCATGTGACTCCTGCTAAATTACAAAACACGTCCCACAACTTTGACCCTTGGACTTCTAGAGGAATTTCACTGCACGCACATTTCCTTCCAGACGCAGCTAGAAACCATTCATAATTATAATAATGTATTTTAATAACTAGATCATTTCATCTCTAATTGATGAATGAAACTTAAGCTAATAATAATAACAAGGGGCCAGCATATGTTGCTTGGCCCCCTATAGATACGGCACAGTAAAGGATTTGAGTCTTTTGTTTTGAATCTGAGCTGCACCAACGTGACATCACCACTGTAATCACAAAAGGCCCCACAGGAAGCTTTAACGCCCAGTCGTTTTATTTTACGCCTAATTTATGCCGTCATTCAAAATCAACAGTCATCAGTCGTCCCATCCTGATGGTGTTTCTGATTAAAGACATTATATTATTATTATTATTATTATTATTGTTATTATAGTTTGAATAGAAATCTTAGCGCAAACAGCTTTGAGGGCTGCAATAACATTAAAGTGGAATATTAAGCAAGTTTTGATGCAGGAGCAGTTTATATTTGTTAAAGCAGGGTCGATTCATAAACACGTTTTTAACATTAATTAATTTGTCCTGTTAATACTATAGTGTTCACTTCTCTCGTGTTGCTGGAAACAGTTTTATGCCATGTTTAAAAGCCACAGAGACACATGCATTATCATGAACTCAGTAGATTTCTCTTATTTAGTCTTGCAGTTCCTGAGAGCCACCAGCAGAGGGCTCAGAGTCCATTCATACGGTGTTCATGCTCTGACAGCAGTCATCTTTAACTGCCTCATTTAAAGAGGATGAAAACAGCATTTAGGCTCCTTTATATATTGCATTAGCTGGCATTGTTTCCCTGTTGTTCTGCTGCAGAGTGTGAGTGAAACACCCTGCAGAGGTGATGGTGCAGTGCTGCAGCTTGTGCTGGGGCCAGGATCCATTTAAGTGAAGGTGTAATAAAGATCTGACACCAGACATTTGCATGTGATAAATCTCACAGACGGCAGTTTACACCTGTCCTCCAGCGTCTACCTGTAATAGTTGACAACTTAAAAATGAACCTAATTTGATGCTAATTTCAAACTTTACCTGAAGTTGTTATCACTCAATCTGTTTCTATTGGCTGTCATGTCAGCAGTCACTGCTGCATCCCAGGCCACAGCTGTGTGTGTGTGTGTGTGTGTGTCACATCTTGTTTACACCAGGGGCCAAGGACTGTGTGTGACCTAGTTACTGAAAAGCCCGAGAGGCAAAGTAAAAAACACACTGCACAGTTGGCAGGGGGGGGAGAGAAGCCGTTTTCTGTTCGAGACATGGACTGACATTTGTTGGTTTGGTGCCAAAAAGAATGATGTGTACTGTACGGTGTGCTTCCAGTTACTAACCACGCGAAGAGAGAGAGAGGCGGGGACACATCTTGGCAGGCCGGGGAGAGTAACGAGCTTTAATGGGAAGAACATTTTGTCGTTTACCTGTACGGAGCCGATACAGGGAGACACAGATACACTGCAACACGTACCTGGTGCGCATAATGAAACAGCACTGTTAAAATAGACGTTTTATTAGGTTGGTAACAGGATTTTGACTTTAGATCAAATGAAGTTGTCACTCAGTGTTTCTACTGTTATAAATGACTAATACAGTATTAAAGACATTCGACCCACACTGATGTGAGTTCCACTTAAGTCCGATTAAAGCTTTATAATCCTGATGACAGTGCGTTTTCTTTGAGAGGAAGCCAATATGAAATGAGATTTTTTTTCCTGTTTCTAATTTGCAGAGCAGTTGATCTCCATGAGAAGCCGCACACAAACAGGACAGTGCGGTTTTTCTAGCTGTACGATATAACCGTGTTCTTCAATATTCAAGTGGCTTGTATCAGGTAAAACACAAAACATCAAATTCTGCTGCCAAAAGGGAGCGCGCGTTATATTTTTATATCACACCTACTGCAGCTGCCCAGTACGACCACCTACTGAGCAGCTGACACACAAGGATCCCTCGACAGCAGTCTGTGAGGTACAGCGAGTGACGTGACGCCGAGGGTTTGTGATAGAGTCCAGGCCAGTTGTGTGAAGTCCCACCTCAGTGTCCAGCAGAAAACAGGCAGTAAAAGGCAGCTACTGTCACTAGCTGCTTGAGTCCTGAGCTGCTGCTGCGTCATTCTGCGGTAAACTGAGCAGCTCCTGGATCCTCTCCATGTCCTTATTGGTTTCCTCCGCCTGACAGCTGACGTTCAGATCTCCAATCAGATCGTCCGTCAACTGCAAACGGGCCGTCCTGATGATTTGAAAAAAAGAGTTTTACGAAAGATCATCAGGAGAAAAAGACACTTTTAATTTCTTGGCGTGTGACAGGATTATTATTAAAATCATCTAAACTTACCATTCTGTCAGTTTGAGCTCATAAAGTTCCCTGCGCTCTCTCCTCCTCCTCTCTCGGACGGTTTCTCCGGCCAGAGACTGCATGCTGATGATCAGAGCGCCAGTGGGAATCCTGAACAGAATCGCTTTATTATAAACATACATCTAGAATATCTTAAATTGCTTTATATAAAAGCAGCATATGAGACTTTTCCAGTTGACCGTCTCCCGGTGAAATTAGACGACGGATGTCATAAGTTCCTTAAACACTTCCTGTAATTGCATAATTTGTTTTGTACCATGTTCTGTAACCGCAGCTACTTCCATTGCATAAATCCTCCAAGCTGTCAGTCATTTACACAACTGTAGCATGTTGGTGGCCAATTTCCTCTCAGCTGCCCCTGCTCCACCTTCCAGTCACACCTCCACCGTGTGCCTGGACGAGGGGGATGATTCCGGGGCGAGATCTGGAGCGTGATGTGCTTTCCGATTAGCTGCCTGCTTTCATTTCACCCCCTTCTGCCCCGGCTGCACCTGGCGTAGCCGGGGCTGGGGCTGTTTGCACACATCAAACGCTCCAGGTGGCCGGTCACTGAGGCAGACAGTGAGAGGGAGAGCAGGAGGAGGAGGAGGAGGAGGAGGAGGAGGAGGCAAAGCCGGTATAGAGCCAACAGGAGAACGGACTAGAGCCGAGCCAACACAGAGCTGATGATCAGAGACAAGGAACCAGCCCCTCCAGTCTGTTACACCATCAAATACCTCGCACTCAATCTCCATTATACGATCACATTCAAATCTGCTCTTGGCTGTGTTCGCTCGGCTCAGAGCGGCCAGAGAAATGAGTGAAAAGTGGGACAGAGAGAGCCGAGGGTTGAGGAGAGAGTCCCGATCAGACCGTGGTAGATGGAGATGAGAGGCTGGAATAACAGAGATGGTATAAATGAAGAGGGGCAGCTGCTGCCTTGGCCTGCCTCCTTGCTCTAGTACCCAAAACATGGCACTCTGTGGTGCACATGAGTCCCCCTGGCAGCGTGAACAGAGTCAGAGGTGGAGTGTGTGTGTGTGTGTGTGTGTGTGGGGGGTTCAGCTGGACGGCAGAGGGTCGCTGGGAGGGGTGCAGCTGGCTGCCAGAGTACTCACTGCTCTCAAGCACACAGGCGCGAATGTTGACACGCACGAGCGAATATGCATGTCTGTTAAAAGACACAAACGCTGTAACGAGGATTGAAATCCGTCTCTCAGATCAGTGGCTGTAAAAAAAAGTTAACGAGTTGGAGGGTGATCAATGTGTGTGAACGGACGTCTGCGGAAACAAAAGCCAAACTCACCCCAGCACTGCTCCGATGATCGACCCAGCCACCAGGCCTCCGAGGCCCAGGTTCAATCTGAAGAGGCCTCCAGTACACAGTACACACACACACACACACACACACACACACACACACACACACACACACACACACACACACACACACATCATTATCGACATCATTCGTTACTCAATGTGCTGGCATGCGTTTTACTGCACGTCTTAAAACAATATGTCATCAGGTTAACAAGGGTTATTAAAGTTTCATTATTGTTGTCAGTGCCAAAGATTTTACTACGAATGATTTCAGAGGCTGAAAAAACAGTTTCTGCTCAATATAAAAAGACGTTTCCAGGACGGTGAGTTTTGAATGTTTTGAGATATTACTTTTTGGGTATTTTAGGCTTTTATTTTGAAAGCTGCAGTCGAGAGAAGAGAGAAAGACAGATGTGGTTTCTGGATGCATCATGCTGCAGCAGTGAGTTAACACGTTTCTGTGGACATTTGTCAAGTTTATAGCCGTGAAAATTAAAAATAAATGATTATATTATGATACAAATATTATTACATAAGTGCTATACACACTAAAAGGTCAGGCAGACAGCAGTAACAGCAGTGAACTGTGCAGCAGCTCATTAAAACTGCCGAGGTTTTTATGGGACAACTCCCAGATGTGGGAGATGTGAGAGTGTGACAGTCATGTTGTGACACAGCTTTCCTTGGATACTAAAAAAAAGAAAAGAAAAGGAGGTGTTATTTATCAGGCCCCGCTGAAGCCCCGTGTGACTCACCTCCAGCTGCAGCATAATTACTGAGGGTGTACTTGTCTCTGTACACAGACAGTCCTGTGCTGACCGAGCTGCAGGGGGAGGGAGGGGACACACAGATGAGCAAAAGACAGTTAGACACAAGTTCTGCTCAGCTGCATTTCATAATAATAACAATAAAGTAAATTAAACATTAAGTGGTTGCGTACAGAGCCTGTAACAGTGTTCCTGTCGGATGCAAAATAACATCATTAAATTATTAAAATTGCAATCTCTCAGTTGTGGAAGCAACTAAAGTGTGAGACAAGTTAGAAAATCCATTAAACTCTACTCATCTTCTTTTTGTTGCTTACTTGAACAAGGTGACAAACGCAGCCACCCTCCAGCTCCACCTCCACCCGTATCTCACGAAACCTCGGATAGCTGCATTGTGGGCCGAGCGCTGAGTCAAACAGAAACAGACGCCGTTCCGTAAAAACACTGCTGCTTATTCTCATGAAACTCTGACATCATCTATTATTATATCATCTATTATTATATCATCTATTATTTTCCCCACCTGTGCACTCAAAGTCATCAGACCACTTTCAGATTCATTTTTTTTCAACATCACATCTGGATTATCTCACCAGCAAATTAAGGTTAAGTCGTATTTATTGTGAATCTTCGTCTCAAACGTTCCCTAAACCCTCTCCTAGTTTCCACATGTTCACACACACACCGACCGAATACAGCTTTCACTTACCACCGCTTCTACACGACTACTGTAGATTTCCGCCTGGCTGACCTGGATGTACCTCTGCCTGGCGTGACGTGCAGCTGGAAGGCCTCCGTAGATCAAGCCCGCTAGAGCGGCCACTACACCGCTCTTCACCACGTTGGTCAGCTCCTCTGGGTACCTCTGTGTCACACTACAGGCAGACGAGAGTGACAGCGCGTTACGTTAGTGGTGCTACTTCAGGTTATCTCTTATTCTTCTACAATGCCAGTCTCCCTCTATTATTGATGAAAAGAGTCCAGTGCACTTCATGTCCCTGAAGGATCTGACTCGGGCTGACACTACTGTTTGTTTTCTTTATCACTTAACCTGCCAATAATTTTTATGATTTAAAGAATCTGAAAAGCTAAAAGCTAAAGAAAAAGAAAGAAAAGCATCACATCTTTACAAATAAGAAGCTGGAACTAAAGGATGTTTCATCGTCTACATCTGCAGTATAAACAACAACAATACCAACCAAGTGGAAGCAGAGACAGGGACAAACTGTTTCTAACAACGTTCAAGACATTTAGATTTGAGCTTTTGAAAGACAGTGAGGTGATAAAGGGGTTAAAGACAAAGCTCAAGAAGGAACAACAAGAGATTGACAAACACTAACTCTCTGTCAAAGAGGTCCTTGATGCGGTCCCATCCTGTGTCTGGGAATTCTGGCTTGCCCAAATTGCTTGGCATGGTGCTCAGAGAGGAGATGGGTGCAGGAGCAGGACTGGTGGAGGAGGATGAGGAGGAGGAGGAGGGCATCTGTGCAGGCTGGGCTGCAGCCACATCAGCTGCGTGGACCCTGGGGAGCAGGAAGCAGAAGGAGGGAGGCCTGGCGCTGTGGATGAGGCCCTGCAGTAGGCCAGTGCTCAGCGTGCCCCAGGGGGCAGAATCTGCCTGCCATCTTTGCAGAGCGAAGCCTGTTCTGGGCTGCTCTGGACGCATCACGCTTCAGCTGGCGTTAGACTGCAGCAGAGAGGCAGAAACACATGGCCACGGGTTGGGATGTTGCACTCACTGCCTCGACTTAAGCTCCATCCTCAAAACAAATAGCCTTAAGGCAAATGAAATCCTGGCAGGGCTACACAGGCTGTCAGACTCAGCAGCTGTTAAATGGTGCAGTCTTATCAAAACACACACAAGCAGATTCTCTGGGAAAACATTTCTTACTTGACCTCAAAATACGTCATTTAAGCTGTCAGTGCACTGCTGTTACCCTCAGGTCCTCTGAGTGGGACGCCTAGGCTGGTCCAGGGTCAAAGGTTAAGAAATATGGTGACTTTATATTTACAAATTTAGCTCTATGACTTGGGAAATGCCACCAAATAAATATAAATGTAACACAAGAGCATGAGATCAGTTATTTATTTCATACATCCTCCATAAACATATCCTGCATGTCCTTATTTGTCGTTTCATAATGTGTAATATAGTACAATAAACAAATAAGTCTGATTCTGATTCGACACTTTTGAGCAAACAGCTTCACAAATGTGAATAATTGTGGCTTTTGTTTAATTCAGGCATTTATCAATACCTGTGCTATTTCAGCTAGGAAAACTACTAATAGACAAAGTGGTTAAACTAGGAAGAAATAATGACAACAAAGTCAACCGCAGCCATGTTTTTGACAGTCCACCTGCTGACTTACTCCAATTAAGCTAATGATACAGAGCTGTGTCAGGTCAGCATGACTTCTCCAGTGTTGTTAGCTAGGCTAATGTCACGCTATTTTCCTTTCTCTGTGACGAAGACACCAAACTACTTCACATTATAACGTCTAACATAACGTAAAAACTAAGGTTTGAATTCCGGCAGCGTGTTTACATGTCACGTTCCTCCAAAAACTGTAAATAAAAAATGTAAATAATCATGGCTGTCCGATAATGGAGGCATTAGCGCTAGCTGTTTGCATGCTAGTAGCTTTAGTGTGATACTAACGGGAATAACAGTTTACCTGCAGCCGAGGCGGGATTTCTCTACGACGAGCCGTTTCTTTTACGCAACCTGGTTAATCCACGTCAACTCCAGATAGTGTTTATATCCCAGTTTCTTATCATTGTCCTTCTGCTGTCTTGTTTCTCACCTGTGACTTTCCGACACACCACCAGCATCCCGACCTCTGTCCTCCGCCATGCACCCAATGTGAAGACAGCGCCGCCTGTCGGTGGAGGACTGAGCATTACACTGAATAGACAGCTAAGAGCTCGGGTGGATCATTGCTACCCGAGCAGCTAGTGCTAATTGCAAGTGTTTACAAACCTGTGCACAGGTGAAGAAATGTAAAAAAAAAAAAAAAAAATCACAAACAAAGATGTCATGAGTGAAATGTTTTTTTTTAAGAACCAAAGTTTAAGAACAAAACCGCTGCACAAGCTGTGACAACAATTTGAATGTCACATGATCAGGCACATGATCACAGCTTTTTGGTCAAATCAACATTTTAACGGAGCATTTTTTTTTTCCACAGTAAAACAGACTGTTAAAAAAAAAAAATAAAATGACATGACTTTACATTTAAGAGAACTTGCTTGTTCACAGTACAACGCGAATACTACAACATATTCAACATTATCCTGTATCAATTACACACAATCAGTCATGTCTGAACACAAATAGAGATTATTTTCAAAAAAGGTAAAAACAATTAACATGATTCAGAGAGAAACAAATTAAAAGTCATTATTGCTATCTGTTGGCACTTTGTGTGAAATGAAATGTTTGTCATACTTTTGTACTTTTAAGTCATGGAACCTCAGAACTTATCAAAAAGCTGTTATTGCATTGTTTGCATCAACAAGTACATGGATATACGTTGGTGTAGTGAAACTTGGTAACAGTCTGCTGGAGTTTCTCCGGCTGTCCAGTGGAGGGCGATGTAACAAAACAAAACAAAAACAAACAAAAAAAACAGCTCATTGAAATACTTGAAACACAAAAGATCACCATCTAAAATGTTCAACATGACACTTTCTCCCATCAAGAACACTAATCCATCTACTTCATATTAACTATCAGCTGAGTGAGTATCACTTTAGGTTATTCTTCATGTTTATATTAACAGGACTTGTGCAGATATGGACCTTAAACCGTTAAGTTTCTCAGAGAAAACTGTCTGTATTATTCTATGTACAAAAAGGTCAGACAACGATAGTGGATATTTGCCACTACTCAGGAAATTCTCCCAACATATTACACTACATTAAATATGCAGCAGCATGACATCTGTAACTATTATTATTGGTACATCCTGTGTGTTAACAGCCTGCAAAACACTTTGCTATAATTTCAAATTAAATATTAGACTTGTAGGTGCGCCACAGCTAAGTGTGCGGGATTCAATTTAAGCGAACTTGTCATTTTTCTTTAGCAAGGCACTGAACCTTTTCTACCCTGTCCTTGTTTTTCATTATAATTTCAAATACAAATTCAAAACAAAAATGTGAAATTCTGCAAGTCTGACTTTCCTGAAAGACTGAAGCCCGGTCCAGATTATACACTGCATGTTAAAGGGGTAGTCCATCAATTCAACGACTTACTTGATGGAAAAAGGAAAAACAATGGTCGAAATCCTAGCAGCAGAAGCCCAAATATCATGACCTTTACTCCCTTGTTTTGCACAAACTAAAAAAAAAAAAAAAATCCTACATTTCCCATCATGCAATTGTTTTAATTAAACACTTCCTGCCACAGCTTGCCAACTCAAGTTCACACACAGGCTTTGCAGTAGCATTTTTTAACGTGTAAAACCTGTGGAATGCCCCTTTAGTGAGTAAAATAAAAGCTTAGCGACATACGTCACCACCCATGTTTCTTTGCTGGTGAGTTTAGTTCGTTATTTTTTGGAAGTTAATCAACCATTGAACCAGAAAATGATCTATGAAGATTTGAAGATAAGAAGTGGCACCTGAAGATATGGCAGTGAAACCAGGGTCAACTCTAACAGCTACACCTCTGACTGTGTAATACTAAGCTACGCCCCTTGTAACGGTTACTCCTCTAAGAGCACATGGGCTGCAGGAACCGACCAATCGTGCTCTTCGTTAGACTACAACACTGAGCTCATTAAAAAATAAGTGTGAAAAGTATCTGGTCAAAGCTTTTTGACTTTATATCAGCTAAAAACTGTGGCGTTATTTTAACAAAACTGGAACGCAAACAATCATAAGTTGTGACGGAGTGGTTACATTCATTATCTAGAGTTTCCCTTCACTACAACCGCTCCGGTCCCCGCCGAGCCTCCGTCTTATAGCTCCGTCTTGCTGGGTCTGTGGACAATCTGGTTGTAGCCGTTCCTTCTTTTGGGTTTGTAGGTGAGAAGTTGGCTGAACTCGGTGAGGAGTCTCTCCCAGTAGCAGGAAACGTCTCGCATCCGCAGGTGGTCCAGGATGAAGTCCTTACCCCTGCAGGGAGGGGGGAGGGGGGAGGGAGGAGCAGGAAGTCAGTCATACTGCTGCTGCATGAGAACAGAGCGATTTCATGGCTGCTACAGTAGGTTTCAGTTATTGGATGTGATCCGTCACCTTGTGGCGATCTCCTGCGCGACAGCATCGTTCTCTTTGACAAACTGTAGAAGTTCCCTGAGGACACAGAGCATGTAAAGACATATTTACAGTTACCAAACACACACTCACACACCTGTGTTCTGGTTCAGGTGCTGACATGTGCTTTAATTATGAGTTTAAATTACAGACACAGGTGTGTGAATTTTAACATGGAACGTCTCCCATGCCTCCTACTGCGACACGTTCACATGTAACTGCCAACATCCATTCCAGAAGACCAGTTATAAGAGTTCAGATTAAATGGAATAAAAAAAGAAGAAAATAAATAAAAAACAATGTTGATAATTTAGTAATTTAAGTCATTAATGCTTTTCTGTTCTACCGTTCTACTGTTTGACTTTTGGACTGTTGGTGACACAAGACATGACATTTTCTAAACCAAAAAAAGAACCAAAAGTTAATCAATAATGAAAATAATTAATAGTTGCAGCCAAATAAAAGTATGATTTTTTTTTTTTGCAGTCATCAAATGAAGGTAGATTTTAAAAAATATGAGAGAATATATTTCAACTTCTGAGGCATTTTTACTTGCTGTGTGTTTTCCTAAAGAGTCAGACGACTCTTCATTGATTTATCTAAGTAACTCACTCACTAACTGTTATTGTAGATTAAGAAAACCAGCAAATATTCACATTTGAACAACTAAATCAATGAAACCAGAAAGACTTAGACCTGGATTTGAATCCTACGAAGGATTATTATGACAGAGGAGAACAGTACCTGACGTCAGAGAGATCCTGCTTGACTGGGATGTAGTGCACCCAGGGCTTGAGCTGAGGGTAGAAAAACTCCTGCCACTCATCCCCCACATGAAACACCAGAGAACCACAGAGGAAGAGATGTTTGAAGCGGAAGCTGGCCGCCACACCCCGGAAGTTAAATAAATACCTTGAAGAGGTGGAGGGGAGGACGTTTGGTGAGTAGGTGCTTTCCCAGAATCGTGGATGAATATTATGTCGAGCTCATCTTCAAATGTTTATGCATTAAAGACCTTTTCAACTTGTCTACTTTTATTCTTGATCTAAAAACAGAATGAGGACTCCAGCTTACTTGTATTTGCAGTGATCGACCAGTGGGATTTCTTTGGCTGGGGGTCTCCCTAGTGTATCCTATGACAGAAACAGAAACATGATCGGGTCGTCAAAAAACCGGGAAGAATACTGGCGAAGGATGATTTTAATATTTCATAGCTTTATAGTTATTATGAATGTATTTGACCCTGGCGTAGTTTCAGTATGACAGACCCTCTCAGACTTCCAGGCCTGGTTCTTTGTGTATTCTGCATCCACCAGCTCTGGAGCCTCTCTGGACAGAAGGATCAGAGGGTCTCGCTCTGGACTGGTCCTGTCCAAAAAAAGAAAAAAGAAAAGAGTCTGTGTGTAAATCAGAGAAAGTACGTCTGGTGGGAATCTTGGGATTATAGGTAGCGAGTAAAAATCTGCCGCCAAAGTTTGCAAGCGAAAGGTGAGGCACTGTTTGACAGGTAAAGATGCAATGAGAGCATTTTCTCTTGCTAAAAGGCACAGTGGCACAAACTGTAAACGCCCCTACAGTGTCTAGCTGGCATTGCTAAGAGATAGTCACCTCGTATAAAGTCTGCACTTTGCCACCAACTGCGATAAGAGGATAGTGGCATTAAGAATTGTTACCAATGAACATCAGGTAAGTGACATTTGCACTGTCGTGGAAAAACAAACTCGACTCACCGAGAGCCTCTGAAGAATCCTCTGGACTCCTTCTTCTTCCACGGCCACTGAGCTGCAGACCTAACAGAGCGTATCATACGGATAAGACACACTGAAATCATGCGCTTGATGAAATATGGAGACATATTATTAGTGTTTATTTGTTCCATTAAATCAGTTTCTAATTTTGTGAACACTTAATTAATAATTTAGCCCATCAAATGGAAAAAATAAGAATCAAAAACAAGTAAGAATCACAAGTTACCAGTTAACTAACTGGTTTAAAATTGTGTAAAAGTGATGAGCCTTACTTTTTGAGGTCATCCCTCATCAGATCCCATCTCCCCAGCCCAGTGGGGTATATGGGCCACACAGCGGGCCCGCCCTCCCAAAATGTCCACGCCGGGTACATGATGTCCTGGTAGTCTGAGGTCTGCTCAAACCAAAACATACGCACATCAAAACTAGTTGTAATAAACATTCACGTGATGTGTGCATTAAAGTACAGTCCATAGTCTGACCTTACTGAAAGAGAAAACAGGCAGTGTCGGCTGCACCCAGTTGGGGACTTGGGGGTAATCTCTGACATTAACCACCATCTCCAAGTCAGGTAACCTATCGATCACCTCCAGGATGAAATGCTCCACCCCGCTGCACCTGAAAACAGAGAACTGATTTAGGCAAAGCTCTAAATACATGTATGCAAGTTTTGGCTGTTAATATAAATTAGAGTAATATAACACTCAATTCAATTTAAACTTTACCTGGCAGGGAACATACAGTTGTTTTCTCTGTACAACTTTTGACCAATAATCTGGTAGTGGGTGCCCACCCCTCTTTGAACAGTTGCGGCCATGAACTCCTCAGAGATTCCTCCTTTAAAGGGACGCAAGTCATGTTGCAGGACACTGAAACAGAAATCAAGAGAAAACAATTCCAACTCCACATCATTTATTCAATGCTTTAAAAAATTATGTTTCTAATCTGGTTAGTATGTTTAGAAAAACAACCTATTGGGTTGACATTATTTATGAAATCTTGAGGATGGAAAGAATTACTTTATATATTAGGTTGCAACAGGACAAATTCATGAACATATGGGAAAGACAGATAAAGTAAATAACACCTGTACGTTGTCGGGTTTTGAATTATCGGGCAGGTACACCCACTTTTTTTTATCTCTGTTTGATATTTTATGTATTACGTATTTACTTGTTTATGTTTTTGGATTCTATTTAATTTTCCTAATCTTAATCTTGTTTGAATGCCTATAATTTAATTTACTTCACTGGTCCCAAATTGTTTCCGTATGATCTATTTTGCCCTGTAAGATTCATAATTTTTGTTTGCAACTGAGTCTCATAGAAGGATTTAAATGGATAGTGTAATACAATAAGAAAGAATTTAAAAAAAAGAATAAGAGCCTATAAATGTGATAAACAAAAATGCATTGGTTTATTGTAGTATGATTGTTTTCCTGAACTGTGATATACTATTTAAAAGGACAGATATACTGGCATCACACTCACCTTAGATGGCAGCTGCAGTTGACAGGGTTGCAGGAAGTGTACCCTTTAACAACATCGGATATGTTTTCTCTAATTTTCTTCCACTCTTTGCCTGTAAAAACGCATAAAAATGGCAAAATGTGTCAGTAAAGGTTTCCATATTGTACCAACCCTGCCTCCCTTAATCACGGATCACAATACCGACACATCCACTGTCAGGAAACAAGAGATTAGTAGGTCATTATCCCTCAATTAGGATCCTCGTGTGTCCTTTACGTTATATTGGTGAGCGCTAATTAGCAGTTAGCACACCTATAGGTAAAGGTGCGCCCAGTCTTAATGCATATAAACACCTTTGCGAATATACGTCTTATTTTACATTGTTACTGTTAGCGAAAATGCAAACTTTTAACCGCAGTTCACCTCAAAGTTAGCTAACAGCTTAGTTGTGTTAGCTCGTAAGCTAGTTAGCTAGCTCGTGAAGTGATGAATGACTCCCAACATCAAAAGTTATCTCGCGGCGTCGCAGCGAAACAAACGGCGGCAAAGTCTCGCTGTTGCTTTTAAAACCATTTCAAGAGTCGTATTTGTTTTGTTTTTTTTTAAATAAAAATAAAAGTTTTACCTGCTGCAGCGACCAAACATAAATCACAAACTTGCAGGAGTGTTAAAAGCCTCCACAGCCAAAGGCACTCCATTTTTCTCTCAATCCTCTAGCTGCGCCTGAGTAGGGGAGGGGGGGGCACAAAGCAGTGATCTGTGATCTGTTATTACTGTCTGAATCCGGACATTACGGTAATGCGCACAGCAAAATTTAAATTTAACGTTACCGTAAGCTTCGATGAGACTGGCTCAAAGTGGCATTAAAGGGATACTCCTCTCAAAATCTGTATCACAATTATATTCACACCCACTAATGTCTATTCAGTCCTCATTAGTTTGAAAGCATGAGATATCTTTTTCATTGTATTTGCATATTCATTTTGATATGGATAATGACATTGCTGATGGAATTCCCAAAGCTTCCCTGCTCTCATTTCTGGATCTATTTCAAGGGGCATGAATGGCCACCTCATGAATGATTGTCCTTTTAATGTGCCTGCCTGACTGGGTTTCTCAGTCAGGGAGAGAAGGAGGAGGAGGAAATAAATCCTCCTGAGATGTGGCCGGTAAAGCTAAGTGACGGAGAGAGGAGGAGACAGAAGACAGGTGGAGAAGGAGTGATATGAAAGGAAGAGAGAGAGAGAGAGAGAAAACCGGTCAAATATTAGCTAGAGAAGTGACAGAGATCAAATCAGTGGGTGCATTTTATCTTGTGCATGGCATCTCTTCACGCTGGGCCTTGAGAGGTTCTTTGATTTCCCTGACAACTTCAATCCGGCTCACAGACCACCTCAACAACAATGCAGCAGCTCTGGCTTCCTCTGCTGTGCGGCCTCTGCCTCCTCCTGGCTTTCCTGTGCAGCGCCGAGGAAGGTCTCGAGTTCCCCAACTTCGACGGGAAGGACAGGGTGCTGGACATGAACGAGCGCAACTACAGGAAGGCTCTGAAGAGGTACGACCTGCTGTGTCTGTTCTACCACGAGCCCCTGCCGGCCAACAAGGGTCTGCAGAAGCGCTTCCAGATGACAGAGCTGGTGCTGGAGGTAAGACAGGGAGGAGGGGGAGGAGGGAGATGGGAGTAAAGACACATAAAAGCTCAAGATGTGAGGAGGAGTGCTGCTATTCTGTCTCTGTCACAAAGGGTTTATAAATGGCATAAACAATTTACCTGTGAGTGCATTATTTAAACTACTTCAGCATCCACACTGACATTGCTACTGGCTTCCTCAGTTACAGATACCTGAGTCCTGCCAAGAAGATGTCATGACTGATCAAAGGTTTTAAAAGATTTATCTACTGTAACATACCGTGCCATGATATATCTAATGTCACAGATAACATGAACATGTCTGAATAGGCTACAGCTCAACCCCCCCCCCCCCCCCGGGTTAGCCTCACAGCCGTGCTCGTTTGACTCTAACCTGTCATAACAAGTCATTGTATAGTCAGTGAATGCCTCGTTCCTCCTATGTCTCCTTGACGTGCAGCCTGTCTAAGGTTGAAGAAAAGCAGGCTTCATAACTGTCATGTTTTCACAGACTGATAGACAGAGTCAGTGTCTCACCTGCACACTCTCTCAACTGGCAGGTAGTGATTTCAATCCCATTATTCCCCCTCCTCTGTGGTTCGCACGTACCCTGGGATTGTTTCTAGGTCATTCTGTTAATTATAGCTTGTTCCCCAAACTCTACTATCTGGCTGTGAACTAGAAATAAGTAGATGTATTCAGGGCTGGGATGATGATGATGATTATTATTTGCTCTTTGCTTCCTTTTCAGTTGTCAGATTTTGCATTCCTATTACGTTTCATGCACCGTTTGAAAGCAGAAACACAAAGAGTAAAACTGAGTTTCAGCCTCTTCAGTGGAATTTATAAATCTCTTTTCCTTCCTCAAGAAGCGCGAGGTGAAAGGCAAAGCAGCTTTCCCTCCAAACAAGCAATCTCCACAGGGGGCTCTAAGCACACACGCACACACTCACCTCGGTAATGAGTGGATGTATTGACGAAGACAGCAGCAGCTAAGGATGAGAACTCGGATACACAGTGTAGAGAAGGTGTTGGTAAAAGGTGTTTTTTATCTCAGGCTGATCCATGTGTAATTGTTATTGTGATTCCAGTTGCTCTGTTTCAAGGATAACATGTTAATAATCAACACCAATTAAATTATTTTTATGATCCAGATGATCAAAAACTTCACGAGAAAGATCAACAATTTTGAAAATAGTATGAAGTAGCCTGTTTTATTAATCATTTCACAACCCTTAAAGTCAAAGTCAACCACGGCCCTGGGTCCTCGGCCCGAGTCTGGCCCATATCCTTCCACATCTGGGCAGAGTCCAGCTGTTTGCCTCCGACACTGACGGCAGAGCAAGAGATAATTGTGGCTCATTCATTTGTTCTTTTGCGCTGACCTGATGCTAAGTGACATTTGTCTGTGTGAACACCCAGCTCACAGCTCAGGTCCTGGAGAACAAAGACATAGGTTTTGGGATGGTGGACTCTCAGAGGGACGTCAAAGTCGCCAGGAAACTGGGTACGTGTATTTGCACGTTCATCAATCCACAGGAATCAGCCGCTGAATGTTTCTAAAAGTCACAGAAAACACTCCTGTCTGTCTAATTAGGTCTGGAGGAGGTGGGCAGCTTGTACGTTTTCAAGGACGACCGTGTCATTGAGTTTGACGGCGAGCTCTCAGCGGACACGCTGGTGGAGTTCCTGCTGGATGTGAGTGGAGAACTGATTCTGCTACTTTTTCAGATGTGTAATCTCGTCAACCACGGAGGGAAGAAATCCTCAAGCAATTAGCAGCTGCAGCCTCATTAAAGTACTTGTAAATGATGTAATTCACAGTAACACAAGTTTCAGCACGAAAAAACACTCATGTCATTTAACACCAAAGGTATTTCTGATTGATGCGATAACGTGTGACATTTTCACATCAATACATTTAAAGAAATAGTTTGATATGTTGGGAAATATGCTTCTTCACTCTCTGTTGAATATGGGGCTAATATGGGCCAGCTGCTTGTTAGCTTAGCTTAGCTTGATGACTGGAACTAGGAGAATCAGTTAGCCTAGCCAAAGGTAACAGAAGTGTAAAAAAGGGGGGTTATGTGCCAGACTGGGCTATTTCTTAGCTAGGAATAGCTCTAGTAAGCAGATATTGTTAGCATTTGACAGAGCAAAGTTAGCAAAACTAAGCTAACCTGCTTGTAGCGGCTTATTTAACAGGCGCACATGAGAGTGGTATCAATCTTCTCGTCTAACTCCCAGCGAGAAGATGAATAAGCACATTTCCCAAAAATGTCAAACTGTGTCTTTGAGCTTTGCTGCTCTGTAGTGTGTCTTGGCAGCAAAAATCACCTACCTGTGTCATACTGCCCCCTAGGTGTTGGAGGACCCAGTGGAAATGATCAACACTGCCATGGAGCTGCGAGCCTTCGAGAGAATGGAGGAGGACATCCGCCTCATTGGATACTTTAAGGGAGAAGATTCATGTTAGTTTATCACCAAAACAAACGTGTAAATTAATGTATTTGTATCTACAAAGACACAGGAGTGTGTGTGGTGGGACGGGAAAACATGTACATCTACACTGGCTGTCCCCTCCATGCATTCCCCAGACACTAATGGGATCTAGAGGCTAATGGAGCTACATCACCACGTAGCATAGCCGGCTGCTTAAGGGAAACCTGATTCCAGACTGTGGCACTCTCACTCAGTCCCACGAGAGCCTTTAAATAACTTCTGGTTCTCTGTCTAATAGGTCAAACTGCAATTATAGTTCCTCTCAAAAAAAAAAAAAAAAAAAAAAAAAAGTCAGAAAAAGTGAGACCGGGAAGATGCTATCTGGTCCGATATGACAGTGGCATGAAGTTTCATTACAGAGCCTATTTCTGTCCACAGATAGGTTGGTCCTTGGTGGTGACCTTGTTGGGAGCAGAGCCCGGAGCGCGTTACAAGCGTATAAAACTGTATTAAGGGAGACTTCGTTACAAGGGTGAAGACAGTTGAATCATGATGGGAAATTGAATGAACAGAGTGCGGTTTCGCTGCTTGCCTCCCTGATCACATACTGCAGAATCGGCCGGGAATGCGACCAGAATGTGAATGTGGATTTCCACACTTTAAATCCGTTTTGTTTTTCCTTTTCTCAGCTTCGGTTTCTGTCTCTCTCCCTCTCAGACTATAAAGCTTTCCAGGAGGCATCAGAGCGTTTTCAACCTTACATCAAGTTCTTTGCTACATTTGATAAATCTGTAAGTCTTCATGTACAAATTAAAACCCTAATTCTCCAAAACATAAGATTCATTATGCATCTATCACATTGCTTTTTAACACATGCATTAAAAGGAATAGTGCAACATTTTGGGGGGGAATGCAGAGAGTTAGATGAGGAGATTGATACCACTCTTATATTCATACACTGAATATGGAGGTAGAGCCTGCAGCTGGATAGCGTAGCTTAGCATAAATATTAGAAAATATTGTTTATATTGAACACTTTGGGCTTCCATAGTGTCATCTTTTTTTTACAGTCTTTATGCTAAACTAAGCTAACAAGCTGCGTATTGTAGCTTCCTATTTAACCATTAGATATGTGGTATCATTCTTCTCATCTAAGTCATTTCTTTAATGAATAGAAACATTTTTTTTTTAAAAAATAAACAGTATATACTCATGATGAAATCCTCATGTTTCAGGTAGCCAAACATCTGTCCCTCAAGATGAACGAGGTGAATTTCTATGAGCCGTTTATGGAGGAGCCTGCCATCCTGCCCGGCAGACCCCTGTCAGAGATGGACATCGTCGAGTTTGTCACCCAACACAGAAGGTTGGTTTGATTTCTATTATTTTAAACGCTGGTGTTTAAGCATTTGGGTGCGTTTTTTTTTTTTTTTTTTAGGAAAATGTGGTTTTTACAGGGCCACGCTGAGGAAGCTCCGGGCAGAGAATATGTTTGAGACATGGGTGAGTAGTTGCTTTGCATAAATGTATTTTCAGTGAAGTGATTAAAACTTATTCGGGGGTGTCACATCAGATCAGGTCTGTAAACGTTCCTCTGTTTCTAGGAAGACGACATGGACGGAATACATATCGTTGCGTTTGCTGAGGAAGAAGATCCAGGTCTGTATCTCTAAATCAAAGCTTTTAGCCTTTAGGATTTGGATTTTTATTTCTCTTTTTATTTGCTTCAGCACTCGTAGGTGAGCTCAGGTTCCTCTGCTCTGTCATCCCCAGACGGCTACGAGTTCCTGGAGATCCTGAAAGACGTGGCCAGGGACAACACCAACAACCCAGAGCTCAGCATAGTCTGGATCGATCCGGATGACTTCCCTCTGGTTCTGCCTCATCATCATCATCATCATCATCAGAAAACAAATACACACAAAATCTGTACACACTGGTCAACCGATAAACCTAAGTGAATCTGGTTTGTCTTGTCCCTCCAGCTGACCACTTACTGGGAGAAAACCTTCAAGTTGGACCTGTTTCGACCTCAAATTGGTGTCGTCAACGTAACAGATGTAAGTAAGAGAAACGTGAAGTGTTTCTGTTTTTACCCTCCATCTTGAACTTGATCCTTTGTGCTCCAGGCCGACAGCGTGTGGCTGGACATGTCCAACGACGAGGACTTGCCCACTGCGGAGGAGCTGGAGGACTGGATAGAGGACGTCCTGTCGGGGAGGGTGAACACCGAGGACGACGATGAGTCAGCCGATGACCAGGAAAACCCTGACAGCTACATCACGGAGGATAGCGACGGAAGTCACGACCAAGACGACGATGACGACGGTGATGACTAAACTGAATGTCTCGGGCTCGGCACATTAGAAACAGATTGTTGACTCATTCAAATGTTCTCATTTCAAAGATGTGAAATTGAAAAAAAAAAAGAAAAAAAAACTGAGGTAATTTAATGTCTCCCAAAAATACAAAATCTAGAGAAGTAGGCTGGAGTTTAATTAGTTTGGCTGATAAAACAGAGCTGATTAAAGGTCATCGTGGCCCAGTTTATAACAAAGTTAGCCGTGATTCTCCTAAAGTCACAGAGGATGGAGATATCAGCGAAATAAAGTTTCATGTAAGTTAAAGCTGCAATAATCCATTTTGTCAACACAACTACTGGCTAATGTTGTTGCTTATTCACCCTTAGACGCAACATTAGCATTTATTGGGCGTTTATTTCAGGCCAAAAGACGAACCTACGTGCAACATTCACTGTCTCTGTGCAGATGTGATTTTTTTATTTTTTATTGGGGCTTGTACCAGACAAACATGTTCCCTCACATCTGGACAATATGATTTGTAGCATCACAACGCTTACGGTGCTAACTGTGATTTGGATATTGCACTTGGTCATTTTGTGGTTTTGATTATATTGCGATTTGATTTTGCCGCTCTCCCAACTACTTACTCACTTTGTGTGTTATGCATTTAGTCTGACATGCTGATGAGAGCAGTGAGAGGGAATTTAAACATCAGAACATTAAAGCTGTGGGCGCTAAAACCAAAACAAAGAGCTGAAAGATGCATGAAAAAATCTGAACCGGGGAACTGTCAGCGTCTGGTGTGATCACTTCTTCATATAAAAATAATGATTATAGCAGCTTTAAGGTTGAAATAAAGGATTCAGTAGTCATAAGGAATTCTGCTGGTGTGTGTTTGTGTGAAAATAAATGACAAATGTTTTGGTTCTAAATAGAATAGCACTTGAATTGTTGTTTTCTCATGATTAAATTAAGGGCAAATAAAAATTGAACACTTCTATATATTAAATGGTAACAATCTAATACAAACCTGCATTAAAGAAAAGTATTAAAAGCACTTTTTGAATGTAGACTTGGTGCAAATTTTCACTATGTAAAACAAGAGTTAATAAAAGTACATGACTACAATGTGCAGGTGTTTTACTGTGAACTACACACTTTCCTTAAGAGGACTCCACATCGAGGCTCAAGACAACAGATTGGCACTTTCTCTCCCTCAGTCAATTAGCAACTTCACCTTGAATTATTCAAACACCGGTGAATAATTCAGCATTGTTATGCCTCCTAAAGGGAGTAGGGACCTGGACCGTGAGGCCGGGGGAGGTCGGAGGGCGAAGGAGTCGGGCTCAAAGGCTGCCCGCCGGGGCCCTACACACTGCATCAGGAGCGGACACACTCCCGCTGAACCCGTACCACTGGACATGAATTAATAATTCAGGGCCATGCAAGAATCATTACTCCCCTGGAGGTGGATGTGGTGCGGTGTGTAAACAGGATGCTTGTACGATGGTGTGGGATTTACACATAATCCATGGCACAGACAGAAAGATGAGAACATTAAACGGTGTGTGTGTGTGTGTGTGTGTGAATTTAAATGTGACCTGGGGCACGACGACATGTCACACTCCCTCCTGAGGAAGAGGGAGCAGACAGTGTGCGAGGTGCAAGTGTTGTGATGTTGTGCAGGGGCCTCTAGGTTACATAATCTTGTGAATGTCAAGTGTGATGGTGTTTTACATGAACGCAGACTTAAGGGAGAGCATGAAGACTGATCTCTCTCTCTCCAACACACACACACACACACACACACACACCCAAGAGAGGAAGAGTGACATCAACACAGTACGAGGATCTAACAGCTTCGATATATAAAACAGCAAAGAACAAAGAAAAGACGTGAGTAAGACGCATTAAGGTGGAGATTTCTGTTCAAAACTGAAACCTGCAGAAGCTAGAGGCATTTCCTGCTCCATGCTTTGATCCGCACATAACCAGCCCATTACCAGATAAACAGAGAGGGAGGGATGAAGGCAAGAAAAACATTCCATTTAGATGCAAATGCTCCTCATTTTCCACTCTATCCATCCCTCCGCTCCCCGTCCTGGTCCTGCGTGGATCAGGCGGTTGCGGGAGGGGACGGGAGGGGAGGGTGGGGGGGGGATTAAACCGCGGACAGATGAGTTCCGACAGGCGGCCTCGCGCCACAGGCTCGCAGAAAGGATGAGGTTGTTCGTTTTCAGCATGGGACCCTGACATTGACATTCATTTACCCACGAGGCCCGGCTGCGCAGCTCTGACAGGCTGACGGCAAAGCCAATTACCACAGAGCTCCATGACAACAAAAAGCCACCAAAATAAGGCCGAAAAAAAAAAAAAAAGAAATGTTGCTCCAGCACGTCAGGCAGCAGCAGCAGACGCTTTAATGGGCAGCGACAGAGGTGAGCGTTGAGCTGGCCTGCGGTGGACGCGAGAAACTGCTGCATATGGAGATGCTGAGGATTAAGCTTGAAGGAATGGCGGAGAGGTAATGAAAGATACCGTGTGCACCTGAAACTGAGCCATTAAGAGAAAAAAGAAGAAAAATCCATTTAAAAACAGCTGGTGGTGGGTGCAGACTTTCTAATTTTAGCTTTGCAGTTTGATATCAGTTTACAGTTTGGCTGCGGGGGAAAATGGAATAAATAAAAATCATCAATGGTCAACGTTAGTTTTTATGGAAACTGAGAATATAGGTTCATTATCACAGAATATAAATGAAGCTTTTGACCTGGTTAACATGTACATGTGGTGTTCACAAGACACATCATGAGCTAAATAATCAGTTAACGCCTGGAACTGCAGTGAACCAATGACAGATTCAGGGTTTCATACGTCACAAACCTAAGGAACCAATCCTGTCACCTTGTGGGGACAGGGGGGCGGGGCTAAATAAACCTGAAACCTCGTCAGTATACACAGAGAGAGAGAGAGTTAGCATTAGCACAACTGCTAACACTGTGTCAGCCACTGCCAGTTAGAAGCTAACAAACAACATAAACACATGAAAGATGCTAACCATGCTAACGGTTCTGATCCGTCTGCTAGTCTCTGGTTCTGGTCTCAACAGACTCCTCCTCCTCTAACCATCAAGGCCTGATCCAGATCTCATGTAGAAGAAACGGGGGCCCGAGTCTGGCCCACATACTTCCACATCTGGGCGGATTAACCTCTGGATTGACCTGACAGCTGAAAGCTTTTCTGTGTGTGTGCGTGGCTGAATTGGTCCAGATGTGGAAGCGGCATCCCCCAGACTCCCGCACAACACAACGCCATACAGCAGATATACAAATGTTCATAAAAATGTTTTATTTTTTTTTTTTTTAAATTTATTTATTTATTTATTTATTTTTTTACAAATGCTAATGCTGTGAAACCGACACATCCGTCACACCGCAGTGTCACGTGATCAGCGTGAAGCTTTTGTCGTCCGACAAAAAAACAAAAACAAAAACAAACCAAGTGACATCGGACTGTAACCTGCCGACGCCGTGACGACGGTGGTGATGAAGAGGAGGGGGGGGGGGGGGGGGCTGGTCATGTGAACTGGAATGGCATACATACATACATACATACATACACACACACACACACACACACACACGCTTGTTTACATAAATAGATACAGTGTAAAAACAGGAGGCACAGTCACATTGGGATCATACAAAGTTCATCTGTCAGTAGGTACAAAAAGATTTACTGCTGGGAAACAGCAAAGTGTTTGTTTTTTTTTGTTTGTTTTTGTTGTTTTGTTTGTTGTTGTTGTTGTTTTTTTTTAAGCTCTTTCCAGATGGATTAACAGTTACAAGTTTACAGCGACAGAATGCTTTATGTTTCATATGAAAACATGTCGCCCCCCCCCCTCAGGCAGACAGAGTGACGATATTAGGTTTACCAGCCAGGGGGCAGCAGGCGACAACCCTGCTCTTAGACACAGAGGACATTGTTCTCATGACACCTTCTTCCTCCTCCAGAGTGAGACACTCGGTGTGAACCCTTCAACACACGAGGTGAATTTTTACCGCAGGGACAGAGAAGTGGAATCAGACGGGATCTTACAAAGTGTCACTTTAGTGCCATTAGCTTCGTTTGACTGTGTTTTCTCTCTCTCTCTCTCTCTCTCTCTCTCTCTGGCTTTACAGGAAACGGCCGAGTCATCAGGTGATCGAGTCTTCCAGCGAAGAAGCGTCTCCGTCCTCGAGGGATCCAACAGAGGTGAGACAAGGTAGTGCGGGACAAACCAGACGATCCAGTTGGGAAGGAGGTTCCACCCTCTTCGTGCTGATTCATTATCATCTATTAAATATTCTAGTGATACAAGCGAAACCCTGCGAGCCTCAGACTTTATAAACGCTGCTAGTTCTCAAAACAGTGGGAGGGAGGAACTGCTCTTTACTTCTCATTTAAACTGAGTATAATGAATATTTCCACAAGCCAAAACAATGTGAAGAAACTTAAACGCTTCCTCCAGGATTTTCACATTAAAATGATCTCAGCCTGGGGCGGGCGAGAAGCATAATGGTTTTGATTACAGACCAGGGATCTTTGATGCATGTCATACCTCTCTCTCTCTCTCTCTCTCTTTTTGTGTTTCCTGTTTCTCTACACGGTCAAGTGTAGCAGCCTTCCTTTTATTTTACAGGTAGGCTTTTAATGTGAAAAACAAACAAACCTCACAGGTGGTCTGTCGAGACTGAGAGCAAGAAAATAAGATTCTGTTGTTGTGGAAATGTGCATTATACTAAATATGCCGTAGACACATCCACTGAGAACGGACAGTAACCCGCAGTCTGGTCCGGAGTAATCAGTAGTACTTTTTTATCTTTGACATCGTGGCTCCGTCTCTCCTCCTCGCTGCCTTCCCTCTCCATCACGTCAGGCGGCTCCGGCGGACATGAAAGCCCTGAGAAGGTTACTGAAGCGACGAGGCAGGGCAAATGTTTTTGGGCACGTTTCCATCTCTGTGCATCTCTCATGGTCTGCTTCATCCCGAGCCCAACACAGCATGCGTGTGTTGTTCCCAGCTGGGGTGGAAGTATTTTCCTGATGCGGCTCCATCGCACCTGGAGACGAATCGTGCACCAAAAAACAACCCCGAAGCGTCCGACTTTGGCTGCTAAAATTAGCAGGATGTGTCGGGAGTCTGACATCTCAAGCGTCGCTGCAGACGTCCTGAAGTAGTGATGAGGAGAGGAGAACAGTCCGAGATCCTGATGAGATCATATATTCCAACCTTTGTAGGCATTTACAAACATACATGAATGTGCATTTAATGCAAAATCTGATAGAAGTTTGGTTTCATTGTTTTGTCAAATGCATTTAATTTGGTTTTTCAAGAGAAATAAATCCAGTTCATTCTCAATCTGTTGACGCCTGAAAACGTCCGCGTACTTTCAAATGTTGTAGACGAGACGGCGGCACAGGCGAGATCTGTCACGCGTTTCCAATCGAGCTTCACACATCAAACATCAGAGTCACAGCGTGGTCGTCCTTAGTGGTTTGTCTGTCTGTCCGTCCCATGGAAATAAAGGAGAGACCGAGACAAAAAAAAAAAAGTCTCTGTGAGGACGTCAGGAGTGTTCCCGTCTCGTTCGACTCCAGCATCTCAAACACAAAAGGAACGAATGATTGTGACACACACACACATTCACACACACTCACTCATACTGTATGTGCACGCAAGTCCATGTCCGAGGCGTCCGAGGCGTCCGAGCTCCCGCGAGTGAAATCCTGCGACGATTCTTCTTTTTGTCCAAATCAAACATTAAAAAAAAAAAAAAAAAATCAATGTATTCAAACATGTGTGTGATATATATAGATTCATATATAATATATAAAAACTCCAGAAAAGTAAAAATAAAAACTGCAAACCCAAAATGAAAACATTTGAGAGCAAGAAAAAAAAAAAAGAAAAAAGAAAAGTCCTACACAGATGTTTCGGACTGTAGCCGCAGGACAAACTTGTGTGACTTGGGGTCGATGTATTCCTCCGACATCTGGATGTAAGGGATCTTCTTCGTTGTCACCACCAGGTTGAAGTCCACGCACTTGAGCAGGAAGACGGAGCCGTCTTTCAGGCCGCTGGTGACCGACGCCTCGCTGATCAGCGTCCACTGGCGGGCCAGCCAGTGGTCCCGGCTGTACTGCAGGGTGGGGCCCGGGGTCAGGTAGCTCTCCAGGAACGCCTGCGCAGGAGGGGGTGAAGAAGAAACTCAACTGTCACACCTTAGAACAAGAACCAGGCTGTGTGTGTGTGTGTGTGTGTGTGTGTGTGTGTGTGGGTCTGACCTTGGGCGTCATGTTGTTGGTGATGCAGAAGGCCAGGTGCTGCTGGATGCTCTCCATGCTGTGGCAGTGCTGCTGCTTGGTGGTCCTCAGGTACTTCTGCAGGGCCCGAGCCATGGAGGGGAAGATGGCCTGCGCCGCCTCCCGCGGGTCCATCACGTCCCCCGGAGCCTTCTTCTGCTCCTCCTCCTGCATGCGCTTGATGTGAGTGAACGCCTCCTCTACCGCCACCACGAGTCTGGGAGGAAGGGAAGCTCAGATTAGAGTCTAATGATGGGGGCGCCAACGTTTTAACGAGTCCAACCAGAAGAGCTCTTTACTCACCGCGCTTTGCGTTTGCGGACACGCCGCTCGTGCTCAGCCTCCTCGTAGTACAGCTCGTTGTGGCTGGAGTCTCGGCGGCGGGCGGCGGCTGCGATCATGGCTCTGGACTGGGAGTGGGCCAGTCCCGTCGCCGCATTGTTCCCCGGGCCTGTCGGGACAGACAGAGCGGTTACCGCCGTGTGCGGTTCACAGGTGAAGAGAAAAGGAACAAAGAAATCTGTGGTGATGACATAAAGTGCAATGTGAGGGAACAAGCTGCTTCAGAGTGGAGGGGCAGATTATCGATGCACATAAACCTTTTATCTCCAGGATTATTAAAACCCCCCGGAGCCGACAGGAAAAGCCACAAAGTCATAATTATAAATTGTTCAAACATCTAAAACTCGGCTATTGATATTCAAACGCTCCCATTACTCTGGCCACTCGGCGCCTTAGGGAAGCAACGTGGCGTCCAATTAAACAAGCGTCTCGGGAGAACTTCAAAAGTGTATATTTCGGGAACGAGGAGGCAGCCGATGAACCGTCTGATGTTAGTGCAGGTTAAAAGAAGGAGCAGCGGCTGAATTATTGATGCGGGCCGGAGATCACGCACGGACAGAATAATTCATGGTCCGAGAGCAGCAGCACAGAGTCCTCAGCACTTCCTGCTCCTGCTGCTCCTGTTGTCAGAGATGATCAATGTTCTGGTGTTTATATGATCTGAAGTTCTACTCGAGCAACAGAAAAATAATACTGCATTAAAACTACAGTTACACAACTGAGTGTAAGTCATGACTACACCGCCTCTGAACACAACACACACTTCATAATCACACATTTAACAAAATGAAATAAATGTAAAAAATAAGTAAGTGAATGATAATTAATATAGAAACACATTTAAAAACTGGATATTGGACTATATTTAAGACTTTTTAGGAGCCACTTATTTCGTTGATTGATTTTGGAGATGCACTTGGAAAAAACACCTCGTATCTGCTGGGAATCATTTCCAGTTCCCGATGTTGTCCAACAGAGAAATTAATATGAAAACCAAACGGCTTGTCAGGCGTCATAAAATATCAACTCAGCCCATTTGGATGCAGCGTAATTGAGTGCTACGGCTGCTCTGCGCTCAGGGCTTCGCCACTCTTTAATTAAAGAAAGATTATTTTCCGTCCCCGAGTTTCGACTTATTTGTTACAGCGGAGAGAAAGAAAGTCGGAGCGGGAAGTAAGAGCTCGAGACGAGAGAGAGAGAGAGAGAGAGAGAGAGAGAGAGAGATGAAGAGGCCTCTCACCAGCTGCTGCAGGATGAGAATGAAGGAGGACGAGACACAAGAGAGAAATGACAAGACCGGCAGCGTAATAGCTATTGATTTATCAGCCGTCTCCCACTAACATCTGAGGGGAGGGAGAAGAAAGGAGGGAGACAAATGGCTGCAGAGGGAAAAAAAAAGAAAAGAAAAAGGAAGAGGGAGTCAAGTTAGTGCCATTAAATGAAGCTTGAGTACACTTAAGGGAGAGTGATAATTTAATAGAGGGTTTGTGTTGCAGTCAGCCAGCTGTCGCGAGGACCACGCTGAACTTTTGCATCAACCTGTGGCATGCGGCGAGCGGAGGGGAAGTGGCGAGCGTGTGAAGCAGACTCAAGAGCGTGTTTCGTTTGTGCAGTGAACAGCAGCGGTGTGTGAAGGCGCTCCGGTTACTTACTGTCCAACAGGTAGGCTTTCAGTTTAGCTCTAAAGACGTCTTAAAGCGAGAGCGACGGTGCAAAGAGACACATGAGGAGAAAGTCAACAGCTGATTCACACCTGCTCCAAAAAGGTACAAGACGCCGCTCCTCCGACAGAGGCGCGTATCAAATGACCACACTTCCATTTTTGCACGTTGTAGCCCATTAACTACAAATCACCTGCGTTTCAAGTTACAGTCGACAATTTTTCAATTACGCCTCGTCTGCGGATCAATTTACTTCCTTCCAGGCAGCCGTTCGTTTCAGCACATTCCAGCACAGTCAGGAAATCAAGTCGACCTGCAGGGACTTGAACTGTGAACTCACAGAAGATGGAGCGATCTGTGGCGAGGAGCAACTCGGGGGGAAAAGTTGAAATATCGTTGAGCGATGATGCAGGAGAAATATTTTAAAGGTCGCATATAGTCGAAAGGCAGACGTCCATGTGATGTTTGATTATAGATCAGCTCTAGTTTCTATATTAATACTGTGAAAGCATCAAAGCCTCAGTCCACAGAGAAATGCACACAGCCTGTATTCAGACACTGAGACTTAAAACCAGCTGTTTATGAGGCAAAAATACAAAAGAATTCAGTTTCCTGCAGCTTAAATGTGAGAATTCTCCTCGTCACATGCGACAGTATCTTTGGGTTTTGGACTCTTCTTCAGATACAACAAGGAATTTGAATAAATCACCTTCGGATCTGGGAATTTTTTCACAATTTTTATGACATTTCAAAGACAAAATAACCGTTAGCATCAGCCCTGAAATCACCGAACTCAATAAACACAACACATTTTAAAAGATATACAGATTGGAAATCACAGACAAGACAAACGACACACAGAAAAAAAACAAAAAAAAAACAGAGACCGTCCCACTCACCCTCAGCTGGGGCTGCTGGGAACTCACCATCCACGTTGTAGACCTTGAGGCCGGCCAGGTGCTTGGCGGCGCGGGACTTGGAGGCGGAGAGCAACGCCGGGTTATTGACTGAGAAGTCACAGTAGTAGTGCTCTAAGATGGCGAGAGCTGCCCGCTGAATACTGAAGGAGAAGGAGAAGAAGAAGAAGAAGAAGAAGAAGAAGACAGGAGGATTAAAATGAGTCGGGTGGCGTGACGATGCTGTGAGAGGTTTTTCCACTTATAATAAAAAAACAGAAGAAGAACTGTTTGGAAAACAGTTCATATCTTTACGTGGGATGTAAACTCTGCTCCATAGCAACATCATGTCTCCGTCACACGGGAGTGGAAAATAATCAGACATGGGACAGCGGCAGTGTGACGGTTACCATAGCTACCACACACAGACTGATAGCCACAACACAGGAAGTGATGTCTGAGGTGACGGGAGAGAGAGGTGAGAGGGGGAGCAGCTCACATCACTGGTGGATCAGAGAGCGTGCCGGGTCTTGTCCTTCATAACACAGCACCATTAAACCAATTCAACATAATGGTGCGGGGGTGTTTTCATGTTTCACATTTTTTAAAAATAATATACAGCCTCTCTGTCCTGGAAGTGAGAGGTTAAAGCAAGACCACATTCTTCCTGTGATACCCCCCCCCCCCTCCCCCCCACTTCAAAAACACCCCACAGTTCTGCTGCTACAGCCGCACTCGCTCCGGTGTGATGCTAATATCGGCTAATGTTAGCATACCGTAAACAGATACCGCCGTGTATTAACGGGGCAGTTCGCCGACTTCATGACTCCGGTGCTAATTTTACACAATGTTTAGGCATCATCCTGTAACTGACACTCGTGGCCACGGTTTAGCGAAGGCAGAGAGACCTTTAAACAGCACAAACAGCTGCGTGTGTGTAGCTACTATAACACATCTTTAATGTCATAATGTCAATATTTCACTTCCTTCCCGTCGGCAGATTGATTATTTGACCTGAGGATAATTATAAACACAGTAAAATCTAAACAAAACAAACAACAAATGGACGGACAGTTAGCAACAAGCTAGTTACAGGTAGCGTTCAGCTGCTATATGAGTCAGCGGATACCGAGACAGAGCTGATGAATGTGGGGGAGAATATTGGATTTCTACTCATCAGCTGGACAGAAACACGACTGTGTAAGTTTATAAACAACACAAATAAACTCCACGTCTTCGGGTTTCCAGGACACTAGATCTGAAGCAGTAATTGGCGGTTGTGCCTTTTGTTGCGACGCCACTACAGCGCTCAGGCAGCAGATGTTGACAGCTGTTAACCGACTGACAGCGCGACTCTACAGCTCGACACTGGAGCCTTTTTCCCTCCCGGGTGTGTTTTGTTTGGACGTCTCCATAACTGTGTGCGAGCCCTCGCTGTGTCCTGTCATTCTTCAGGCCACGTGGAGCGCTAACTCAATATACACGAACAACAGCACATGCTCGCCCGCAGCATGCGCTTCCTATTATCCCAGAGAGGGATTCGTAACAGGCCCATGACCTTTGACCTTCTGATGTAAGCTCTCTCTTCCACTCCTGGGTCTTTTACCACATGTAGATACAAACCAGCATTAAAGACATCATTCGTTAAAAAACATGTTCAGATTGGTATCTTTATCTTTTTATTATATTTCTATTTATTTATATGTTTAAGCTGTTTTACTGGTTAGTTCTTTTATTCTATTCTATTATTTTCCTTATAATAAACTACTTTAATATCTGGTTATTTATTTTATTTCTACTTTATTTCTGGTTTTACTCACTTCCAAACTTCCCCTCACTTTTAGCACTTCTTTATTTTATCTTTACTATTTCTTCTTCATTTTTATTTGATCTTTAAAACCGTTTCTTTATGTTTTACTCACTTTAATACGTCTCCTCTGTTTCACTATTTTATTATTTTATCTTTGTTCTCCTGTCTTCAGTGTTTCCTCAGCGCAAACTTTCTTCAGTTCCTGTTATTTTTGTCTTATTTCTTTAGTTTGTATGTGTTTGGATCTGAAAACGAGTGTGTCACACCGTAGGAAAACAAATACACCGCAGGGTGTTGAATATTAAGCCAAGCCGGAGGCAGCGCTCATTCCACCAGAGGGGAGCGTAACAGCAACTCCCTGGGTTAACTCAAGAAACCCGGACGCCCTCCTGTACAGTGAAGCATTCAAAGGACCATTGTTACGTGCTGAGTAAGAGTTCCTGCTCCTCCCAGCTTCCATCAGTTATTAAGCTGAGCAAACATGACACACAACCATTCACACGGCCGCGTCTCAGTGAAGGAAATAAACCTTTGTGAACCAGTGTCCCCAGAGACCGAGGCCTGCTCTCATGCTGCCGCTCAGGACCGACCAGTCAGAGAAACCTCAACTGGGAAGTTCCCAGCAGTGAATGTGTTTAACCCCCACCCCTCCGCAACAGCTCTCCCCAGGCCGTGAGGAATGTGTTGGTGTTCGACTTGTCCGGTCTGACGAGGGGGGGGAGAGAGACAAGAAAAGGATTCCTGTGGCCCTCAGATTGGCATCAAAGGCCAGGCGGACAGAGACAAGCTTTCAGGACCCCAGGGCCCGAGCAGGGTCCCCATTATGATAAGGCTGAGGTTGGATGTCAGGAGAACAGGAATGTGATACACCGAGGAGATAGGCCGAGAAAACTGAGCTTCTCTGTATCATACACTCATTCATGTTCATGTTTGTGGCCAACACATGCCATTTGCATGTATATGATGCAATTACCCACAAACACACACACAAACACACACACACACACATGCGCGTGCCTATGTTTGTGCGGGTGAGTCAGGCTGACCAGATGCTCGGCTGCAGTCTGCAGGGAGAACCAATTAGCCGTGTGTTTACAGTCAGACGGACAACAGAGCAGAGAGCTGCTGCTGCTGCTGCTGCTGCTGCTGCTGCTGGCCAAGCAGCCATGAATGGCACAGCTTACAGAGGACAACACCCCCAAGGCAGCCAGCTAACACAACAACCACACACACACAGACACACACACACACACACAATCGCTTGTCTGACCTGTTTCTATGAATGCAAAAATCAATATGAAAATCAATGCACTCTTCAGCCTAATGCGGGTTCAGGTTTCAGGGAATGTAATGTACACATCCCACATTTCAGCCCATTAACCCCCCGAATCACACACACACACACACACACACATCACCGGGCCGGGGGTCGTGCACTCTGCGTCCGTGCACTCTCATCAGAAACCAGCAGTCTCATGTTGTTCTTCTAAGATCTTTAGGATGGAGCGTCTCCAGCTGTGAGTCAGGCGTGCATTGTGTCTGTGTGTTTCCTGTGCTGTGTAATTTCACTTCAAGGAATCCACTATTTATAGCCAATGATTATACAGTTAAGATTTTGCCAGAATAGACTCGGTGCTTCGGGGTGGGGTGGGGCGGGGGTGGGGGTGGGGGGGGCTCTCGAAGTGTCTGAGCTGCAACAGAGACTTTGCTGAGAGAACTACAGTTGAAATGACAATAAAAGTTGACTCTAATTGAATCTCTCGTGTGTGTTTCTGCCACCTGAGCGTGTACCTCAGAGTGTAAGAACAGATACAGGATAACACCCCCCCCCCCTTCTATCCTGTAATAAAATACAAGGTTCATCTATAAATCCATCAGCTTTTTATGAGCTCCCCCCTGAGCGAGGAGCATGTGCATGTGAGACCGGGGGCTGCAGGAGAGCTGCTGCTGCGTTTGGCTAAAAATGGGATCTTCCTGTTTTCCCTCAGAGACTGGAAGGTCGTAAAAAAAAACCTGGTCGGTCTCGTCCGAGCTGTTCTTTCCTACACACACACACACACACACACACACACACACACACACACACACACACTTTCTTTCTTTCTTTCCCACATACATTTTAGGATTCTTCAACACTACGCTCACATTAACTATTAATCCCTCGTTCTCGGCTCTCTCCTTCGCCCCCTCCCGTCGCGCTCTCTCCTCGCCTCGGTCTCCTGGGTATTTCCTCTGTTCTCCGCCCTCTGTCTGCAGCTCTTTTCTGAGGAGTTTCCTCTCTGAAGTCTTCCCCACCCTCTCGGCACGGTTTCCTCTCCCTACCAGCCACTTTGTCTGCATGCGTTTGTGTCTCTGTGTGTTTTCTTCCTCCTCAGGTTTAACATTCAATCTCCGCCTTTCTACCTGATGACCGCTCGTTTCCCTTCCAGCGCATCTCTCCCTTTCTCCGCTCTCATCTCCGAGTACGTAACCACTTACTTCCCTCTCCCCTTCCCCACGTCTCGTCACTTGAGGTGTCCCAGTTTCTAACTTTCCCTCTGCCTTCATCTCGCCCCCGTGTTCTTCCTTTCTATCCCCTGATCGCTCACATCAACCCGTCCTTCTATCTCGCCCTCTTCTGCCGTCAGTCTCTACATGCACAGGGGTCATCTGGGGATTCTGCGAACTTCTTCTGAATGATAACGGCGTCCTTTAAGATTCGCCGAGCAACACGTGCATCTGAATACGCACCTGCGAGTTTCCCCCCCGTCTCATCCCACTGCCGCAGTTAAGGTTTCACACTATCTGCCCACAGAATTTTTCTGGTGTCAGCTTTAGTTCGAAGCCATAAATCTTCCCAGTAACAAGCCCGAACAGCGAGCCAACTCTGCTGAGAGAAAGTCAGACTGACACCAGATAAATTTGACACGTCTCTATATTCGTGTCGTCGACAAATCCCACGACGAGACCTAAAAACATCCAACATGTATTGTGTGTGTGTGTATCGAAAGCCTGATAAATCATGTCATGAATGAACCACGTCACCACACACCAAACATGTATCAATCCACCGCTGGAAATAGTCCCCAACAAATGCAACTGCAGTGAGAGTCTGTGGTCTCATTAGTGTCAGTTTAGCGTCTGTGGAAACCACTGGTATACAACTGGTTTTCTGGGTGTGAATGACTGAATCCACTAAAGACTCGAGGCTCAGGTCGTTATTATAAATGTCTGACAACATCGTGGCCGGGATTACCACGGAAACGGACGTTTAGATCCTTTTTGTTTAACCAGAAACAGCCGTTCGACCACGAACAGACTCCATTCACACAAACAGTCATTTACCTCGTGGAACACGGAGGTTTGCTGGTCAACCGTCGCCTTGCTCCGTCAGCTCGTTTGTGTTACTGTGCGGTACTTTTCCCTGCAGCAGAGGATCTGAATAACTCCCCCCAACACTGACAGTCACACAACAACACAAACAAACTGAAGAAGGAAAACGCCTGAATCTGGAGAAGGCAATGTGTTGGGGCCGAGCAAATACTTGCACGCACACATTCCTGGTGGATTACTTTCCCTCATGAACACTGTGTTTCTATTGTTTTTTTTTTTTTTGCTGGTAATTGCAATGGAAGACTAAATAATTGCCACTGTGACAAACTTTTCCAGAGCTGTAAAATCCCGTCTCTGCGGCGTCTGATCGGCCTCGAAACTCCAGGATCTTTATTTAAACTCATCACAGCCCCCCACCCCCTCCCCCTCCCCTGTTGTTTCCACACAGGGTTGATTTATATCTGAACACGTGCAACATCGAAATCACCTGAGCTGTCCCAGGTTGTAGTGCCTCGTCTCTCCGTCCGTGGAGCGCGCCACGCACACGGAGAAGCACGGCTGGAGCTGCCGCAGCTCCAGCAGGACGATGGCCAGGTAGTGGATGAAGAGCAGCGCGTCCACCAGCGACACGGCGTACTGCACGATTCCCTGGTAGTTCTCGTCCTGCGGGGGCAGGAACAGTCAAATTTAAAAACAGCAGCTGGAATAATATTCTTTCAACTACGTGCAAACACAGTAAATATGTGCATTTCCAAACAAAAAAACAAGAAGAAGAAGAATTCCTGCAGGGAAAACATACACATGTAAGACAAGATGTAGAGCATATGAATATTTAGATCAATTTCAAAGGACTGTAAGCTTCCTAGACCCCCCGATTTCTGCATGTNTATTATAAATGTCTGACAACATCGTGGCCGGGATTACCACGGAAACGGACGTTTAGATCCTTTTTGTTTAACCAGAAACAGCCGTTCGACCACGAACAGACTCCATTCACACAAACAGTCATTTACCTCGTGGAACACGGAGGTTTGCTGGTCAACCGTCGCCTTGCTCCGTCAGCTCGTTTGTGTTACTGTGCGGTACTTTTCCCTGCAGCAGAGGATCTGAATAACTCCCCCCAACACTGACAGTCACACAACAACACAAACAAACTGAAGAAGGAAAACGCCTGAATCTGGAGAAGGCAATGTGTTGGGGCCGAGCAAATACTTGCACGCACACATTCCTGGTAGATTACTTTCCCTCATGAACACTGTGTTTCTATTGTTTTTTTTTTTTTGCTGGTAATTGCAATGGAAGACTAAATAATTGCCACTGTGACAAACTTTTCCAGAGCTGTAAAATCCCGTCTCTGCGGCGTCTGATCGGCCTCGAAACTCCAGGATCTTTATTTAAACTCATCACAGCCCCNAAACAGCAGCTGGAATAATATTCTTTCAACTACGTGCAAACACAGTAAATATGTGCATTTCCAAACAAAAAAACAAGAAGAAGAAGAATTCCTGCAGGGAAAACATACACATGTAAGACAAGATGTAGAGCATATGAATATTTAGATCAATTTCAAAGGACTGTAAGCTTCCTAGACCCCCCGATTTCTGCATGTGTGTGTGTGTGTGTGTGTGTTTTGCCGCAAGCGTTGTGAGTGAGGGACCAAAAGGGATTTTAAATCATGACTCACAGTAAACATGCCACAGGAGTGAAGTGTTATGGTTGGCATTAAAAATGAATGAGTTGCTGCAGCTGATGGAAATATCTGGGTGTGTGTGTGTGTGTGTGTGTGTGTGTGTGTGTGTGTGTGTGTGTGTGTGTGTGTGTGTGTGTGTGTGTGTGTGTGAACGCACGCCTGTGGACTCACTTGGATTTCCGTGTAAACGCACATACATGTAAGGTTATTCTCTGGGCTCACCTGCGAGTCCAGTATCCTCACTCCGTAGAACAGCCAGTAGGAGATCACAAAGAGCAGCACCAGCACGGCGAGCAGCGCCCTGAAGACGAAGACCCGCGGGAGGCCGGCCCGCGGCGGCCTGAAGAAGAGCGCCCAGACGGCCAGCAGCAGTATGAGCAGCTTGAAGGCCACGGAGATGAAGAGGCCCTCGCAGGCCGTGCCGCAGCTCTGCAGCCTCTCCGGCCAGAGGAGGTGGGGCAGCACGAGGAAGGCGAGCGGCGTCAGGAACACCAGCAGCCCCAGGATCACAGCCAAGGTCAGGGTGAAGTAACGGCGGCAGTCCAGCCCCACGCTGTCCTCCAGGTCCTTGGTGATGCGGACGATGTCCTCCTGAGAGAGGCTGTGCTCGGACGTGCCGGTGACGGCGGTGGTGGTCTCGCCCCAGTTGTCATCCTGGGAGTGAGAGAGGGAGGAAAACGAGAGAGGAGGTAAGATGACGGCTACATCCGAGGAGCGAGGGCGGGTCCCTGAGGAGGACACACCAGACAAACCTTCCTCTCATCAGACTGACGCCAAAACACAACAGTCTTATACACTGAGACAAATACAGCTCAAGACACCCGGGTTGTGTTTGATCTGAAGACTAAGCAGCTACAAAGACGCCATCAACGCTGGAGAGTCAATGTCAGAAAACAGCAGCGTGCTGGGAAACAGTGGGTGAAGTGCTACAGCTAATATATAAGGTCACACTGTGCTGTAAGACTTTTAATAACGAGTAACTTAGAAAGGAAATCCTCACAGTCCCTCAGCACGGTCACCTGACCCTCACACCGATTTGTTATGGATTAAAATCACCTTCACCTGTTCTTGTGGATCATATCTGATTTATATCGAAAGGTTTCTCCTTAAAATCTGACAAAACTGGGCAACACAGGACAGTGTGTTATTTCCTTTACCTTCTATACACACACACACAGTATAACACACACACACGTGCATCTCACCGACACGTCAGCTCAACGGAGGCAGCGGAGGTTCGTTTCCAAGCATGAGAGAGAGAAAGGAACAGAAGATGGGGAAGTGGAAAAAGTCAACAGAGCGGGCTGCCAGCCGGGCTACACGCTGACGTCTGGGCCTGACCGCATCCGCCGATAATGAAGGTCAGCGGTGTCGGAGCGGAGCCGTTACAACAACAAAGATAAGGACTCTTTGCACAGCAGTCATAACAAGCTGCGAGCGGCTGCCGCGCCAGCGAGAGGAGGACGGATGATGAAGAGCCATCAGCTACAGCGGCATTCAACAGCTCTCACTGCAGATGAGCAGCGTTTTTAAGGATTGTGTCATTGATTATTAGCTCCACAGCGGCAGAGAGAGGGGACGTGGTGATGCGTTATGAAGGGGGGGGCGGGGGAGGAGGATGAGGAGGAGGAGGAGGAGGATGGTGCACCGGGACGGAGAATATCCCAGCGGCCTCGGGGTTAAAACAGCAGAGATGAAGCAGAACAATAGGAGGACCCAGGCAGTACACTCAGGTCGTCTTTGAAGCTTCTGTGTTTGCTCAGATTACTAATAATAGAATTTCACTACTACACAGAACATCAATACTTCATGCACACGAACTGGATGGGAGAGGAACAGGAAAAGGACGAGACATTAATCTGCTGATATTCTCCATTTTTCATGGAAAGAGCTAAAACTAATGTTTTGTTTTTAGCTTTAACATGTATTAGCAGGCCTGACCTGTGTTCATCCACAGCTGGAAACACAAATGCAACTAGAAACTACAGTTCAAGCTCTTCTTAAAAATCACAGTCTTGTTTTCGTGAAGTGTTTTATAATATCCCTGGAAACTAAAAAAAATCTCTTTCCTTGATAAAATTACATGTTAAGTGAATAAGCAACAACGTTAAGTTAAAGATCGAACAACACATTCTTAGTTTATTAAGACTTTAACAGTGAAAACCTCAGTTAATCTGCTTCATCAGATCATGATTCAAATATTGTTAAATCCAGCTGACATTGGTCACAAGTTTTGGATGTGGAAGGACGTGAAATGTCCTGAAAACAAGGCAATTTAATCAAATTTCATATTGTGTTTTATAGCAAACCCCCCCCCCCATAAACCCAAAATGATGAGCCTTAAACATGAGGTAACATTTATTTATCGCAGCACTGTCACTCATCGGAGACGAGCATCAACTGCTGACTCGCTGGTGAAGCTTTTCCACAGACACAGTCTCTGAAAACTGTCTCGGTTTCTTCTGACCTTTTGACATGACAAGAGTAAGTCGTAAATACTCATCCCTCCGTCTTGTGCGTGGATCGAGACGGAGCTGAACATCACGACTGACCCCGGCTCATGAGCCGCTGCGAACCAGACAGTGGAATGCATGACTCGGGTTCAAAAGGTCAAAAGGTGCATATGTCACCGTGTCCCTGCGGGGGGGGGACACACCCTGACATTTATCTGCATGGGGGGGGGGGACCTGTCCTCTGGAAAACACCACTCTGTGTGTGTGTGTGTGTGTGTTTGAGTGTGTGTGTGTGTGTGTGTGTGGGGTCCACGTATTACCAATGTTGTGGGGACCTGCAGTAAATGTTTACATAGTGGGGACTTGTCTTTCTTAAGGGGACAGAAAGGAAGTCCACAAAATGTAAATCATTAAATTTTAAGGTGAAGACTCGCTTTAATGTTAGGTTTAGGTAAGTTGTAGTTACGGTTAAAATTAGAGTAAGTTTCAAGGAGGTTAATGTAAGTCAGTGTGCTTGTTTTACTATATTTGTGGGGTCCGTGGTGCTACCCCCCAGAAGTTTAAAGGGCTGTTTCAGGGTTAAGGGTACGAATGTGTGTGTGTGTGTGTATATATTTACTTTCTAACATTAAATGTTGTGTTGCATTATACAAAAATATATGATGAATATGCAAATTTTCACTCCAGATCTCCTAAAAATGGTGCATATTTACTACAGTTCAACAGTAACATAGGAAGTTCATGTCTTTCACTTGAGAAATAGAAGCGATAAATTGCATCTGACAGAATATAGTCCAAACAACATGATGCAACATCCAAACAATCATAAATAATACATATTCCAGTCCACTCAATTGGAGTGGAGATTGCTCCTGGAACAGAGCAGGTAGAGCCGCTTCATTAATAATGAAAGAGAGGCTGACTGAAGAGGCCCTCGGCTTCTCCACAGAGACCTATGCAACAGGCTTTTTTATTTTTTACTCACATGAAGCCATTATCCCCTACAGGGAACAAAAGTAAGCAAAACCTCATCATTTTCTTGGTGTAATAGCGGAGATAAGTGCTCCACAAAAGCCACAAGCCTCAGTTACATAGAGATGCCTCACATAGCTAAGCAGTTACCGAGCAGCACAGGAGATGCTTGTTAAAACAAAGTATGTAAGATGTTTTTAAACATTTGAGTAAATATAGCACATGTGATCCTCACGGTGTGGAGCTCCGAGCATCTTTCCCGCTGCACTGCTGACAGATCCTCAAGTCTTAATCCTGTCTGACCACCGTCTAGCTGCTGAAGACAGGCGTGCTGAGTGTGTGTGTGTGTGTGTGTGTGGAAGGAGATCAATAGGCATTATTTGTAAGGAAGAGTGTCTCTCTGACCACAGTCTACCTTGAGAAAAAACCCCAGGGAGACATGAATCATCGCTTCTCAGCGCTCATCACTCATCGCCCTTGTTTCATACGTCTGAATCACACACTGCTCGAGGACTCTTTAGAGATCTCTATCGCCATCGTTACACGACATGCTCCGAGTGTGGCTCCGAATACAATACATAAATTAAGTGATGTGACACCCAGAGCTTTAGTTTTAACAGACTGTTGTCTAGTCGTTTGCTTAAGCAAACAATATCACTGGTTTCAGTTTCTCAGATGTTTTTCAGGTTTTTGAAGCTTTCTATGATAGAAAATAGATTATCTTTGGTTGTTTTTAATTTGCATTTTAAGATGATGAACTTGTGACATTCTACATGTAACCAATTTACGGTCAATTAATCAAAAATGAGAAATAAAAAAAAAAAGATTTAAGGCTGTTTCATGGCTTGGTTTCCAGAACTTAAATCAAGCTAAAAACAAACCAAACATGAAGCTACACGCAGGAGACGATTAGCTTAGCTCAGCATGAAGCGTTAGCATAAAAGACTCTACATCTCTATGAGGTTGCCAGGCAACAAATTAAGACTCCAAAAAGTCGCCATCGTCAAGAAATAGTTCCGCATATAACCCCCTCATAAAACCACTACTTGTTGTTTACACCTCATATATAATATGCTAATAAATAAGCTTTGGAGGATTTGTTACCCGTCAGTGAACAGTGTCAAGTCTTCTTGCTAAGCTAAGCTAACTGTGTTCTGGTTTCTCTCTGGAGCTCTGGTAACAAGAGGTCAGTGAGAGAGGAGGCTCCGAGCCTCTCTGCTGATTGGCTGTTTTCTGAGTGGTTCAATAAAAATATAGCACAATTCAGGTAAAAACACTCAGAGCAACCAAATCCTGCAAGGTTTGGATGGTGGGTCCAGGTGGGCGGGGCTTGGTGACTGCTTTGTTGTGACATCACAAAGTTCCAGAAGTCCTGACGGCTGGTTTTAAGGCTCAGTTTCTGAATACAGGCTGTGTGCATTTCTCTGTGGACTGAGGCTTTGATACTTTCACAGTATTAATATAGAAGCTAGACCTGATCTATAATCACACTACACATGGACACAGACCTTTACACTGGAGGAGCTTTAAATGTAATGTACAGTACGTTTAACCCTCCTGCACGTTTCACCCTGTCTGGCTCAGTGCTAATAAAATTCGGGACACTGTTGTTGTTGGATCCTTACTACTGTACCTGGGCTTTCCCTCTGCCGACACGACTAAAAATAGACATTAGTGACCCACATTTCCTCCATGGGATTAACCAATCACCACAGGCTGATCTGGTTCAGGACCAGCAGCCTTGCAGGAGTCCCAGTCCCATTTATCACATGAAAATAGGTGAAACACAGAGGAGGAAAACAGGAGGGAGAACAAGGCAAGAGCACGACATCAATGTGGGATAACAAGACAGCCAATTAAAGAGAGGAGAGGGATTGATCCAGAGAGGGAGGGAAAGTGAGGGCCAGTCGCAGTTCAAGGACCAGGGATGATTAGTTCACGGACAAACCAACATGTGAAATCCTCCACTCACAACCACGCATGCATCACAGAAATACGCACTTCGACTAAACACCTGTCAGGTCGACTCTCGTTCTGCGGCTGCAGTGATTTATTCAACCCAGACGAGGTTTTGTTTTTACCAGGAAATCATCCGTGCTGGGAGGAGCTGAGGCGTTCCAGCAGAAACTAAACAGCTGAATAACGGAAAACATCCGATGTGACGTGTTCTTCACATCGCACTAAGCAAGACGAGAGAGCAGAGGAGAACAGACGGGAAACTGTGGATAA